CTGTTTTAGGATTGAGTAATTTCAACTTCTTGAAACTTTGTGTTCTTCGAAATCCTCCAAATACTTGTATAACATCTTCGCTATATAAATAAAAGCCTTTGTATAAAGTAATAAATTAACACAAAGAATCCTCTTCTAAACAAGACAGTTGGTCTTTAAATTCAGCCCTCTGCTACTGCATTAATTCTTGCTTGAAAAAACTACATTGTTTTCTCTTCAACTATTTTTAACATGAAGCTTCCAAATGCATATAAACAAATGTATACAATAGTGTTCGTTTTTTAGAGTCGTATAAAGACTTCTTCCGATAAAAGTGTTCCGTGGAAAGTGGCTGAACGTCTCCTGCTATTAGATTTTCACGCATTGTCCGGAATCGCTGGCATCGGTCAAGTGGAAACGAGACAAATGGCGATGTGCGGTGGATGGTGTCGACAAGAGACGGACCCGGCGCCGTTGACAGTTTGCGATATTCCGTCCTGTTGGAATCATGGTCCAGTTCGTATCCTCGGAGAACTCGTCGGTTGCCTTCCATTACAGATACAGGATGTCCTGCCAGACAGTGAAACGCAGCACTGACTGTGGTCACAGAGCAAATTCGTACAATGGTTGTGGCAGTCCTGGCAGTATTCATGATAGCAATACGGATACTATGCGCAGCATAGCTGGTTAGACTCCATCCGAGATAAATTTAATTTCTTCATGGCTCTGAACAAAGGGTGCGTCCAAGCTTCTCAGATTCGGTACGAACCACGTTTCATTTTATGAACGAAAAGTGTCCACAAACACAATAAACGTATCATTTCCTTGCAAATGCAATGCAAACCAAGCACAATTTAAGAACGTACAATTTATCGCATAATTCGAGACTCTTAGATTCAAAGTCCAGATTCGGGTTCAAATTCATGAAATGCAAAGCGAAAGATAGTTCGAAAGTTCACGAGTTCGATGGTTCTTTATTTCAAGGATCGCTTACTGTTAGTTTCTGGTTCCAAAGTTTAACAAGTTTTGACTTCGAAACTGCTGAATGGGAGCTTCTAACTTCTCTTTTCGAGTTGATCTTAAATGGTCGCGGGAGATGGTAGAGGTGTAAGAATACCATCAAGAGCCTTTTGATTGGTTTCCTGGGGTCATGCAGGGACACAAAAAAGTTCGAATTGAGTCTGTTTTTTTTACTGTCCCTGTTGCGACGTCCCTATTCACTTTTTATTCGCATCAAAGCAGGGTAGCGATCAGTGATTCGGTTTCGTGGTTTGCAGGTGTACCAACGGTCGGGCAAAATGTTTTGCTGCTTCAATGAATGGATGGGAAATTGAAAGAAAACTCTTTGATACAGAAAATAATCAGAGAACGATGGTTCTCGGTGATTCGCGAATAATAATGTTCTTTTTAGAAGGTTTAATGCACAGGTGGAAAACAATAGAAAGCAGCGATGATGCAAAGAGGTGATAATGATACAATGCAAAAGCTGCTTTGTATGCAATATCTTTGAGCCCAAACCTGAGCTTTTCATTAAAAATAAATATTGTTTTTAATCCTAAGGTAAAATATTTCAAATTTTTATAACGTGTTATTAATAAAATTTTTGGTCTGTTATTCTTAAAAACATTTTTTCTCTAAACATGAGGAATGTTGTATAACGATACACCATATACGTTGAAAAACAATGAATGTTAAAAATGAGCCTTTGAAATTTTTCAAATAAATACGTTTGATGGAACTTCTAATAACGCGTGGCAATCGATTATTGAAGACGTTAGATTATCCTGTTAATCTCCCATCAATGAAAATAGGTCCAATTACGTTATCCGCAATTGTCCCTGCCCATGCGTTTACACTGAATTGTTGTTCGTGATTCGATCCATGAACACCATGTGGATTTCCTTCAACGCAACGATGACAATTATGAAAATTGACCATTCCATCTCTGGCGAATCCTGCTTCTTCGGTAAATGTTGATCGACGATGGGCATTGACGTCAGATAGACCTATTAATCTGCTACCAGGGAAAATAGGTCCAATTATATTATCGCCAATTATCTCTTCCTATGTATTTACACTGAACTGATTAATGACTTGATTGAAGAACAACATATGGATTTTCTTTGGCTTAACCATGAGTATTATTACTACGAAGCATTTCATCTATGGAAAATTTTAGTTTCATCTAATTGAAGTTTAAAAAGTAGCCAGTTGAGAAGAAATTATTATTCAGTGAACCTTTCTGTAGAGTTTCAAAAATGTTTGAAGTAACGGAGAGAGTGATGGGATTGGACAAGGTTTAGGAAGTTTAGGACTCGAAGTCTAGGCTGACGTAGGGTTCATAGACTACGGATAACACAGTGTCTACAGGAATGAGTGACGCTGTGTTTGCAGGTGAAGTGTCGCACGTAGATTAGGATTAGGAGAGTGACTAAAATGGCGTTAAATCTGCAATAGAATTTCTGTCAGCAATTGTTTTTTTACTGTCAAGAAACAATGTGAACCTTCCATGTTTTATTTCAATACGAACTTGGGATCTCGAGTTATGTGCGATATGCAATTGTTTGTGAATAAAAACCTAAAACGAAAGTGGTCTGTTGCCCGTGAATTATATGGTCGCCTTAATTTATTACCGGATTACGTGCAATTTAAATGCTCTACGTCGATCACGCGTGCATATGTACGTAGCTAGGTCGAGAATCGATTTCCGCAGACTGCCAACAATGCACGTGCACAAATTCGCAATCGAAGCGTCCACGTGGAAAGAATATTTGAGGAACATGGGTTTTCCCGAACAATTTTTTTTTTTTTTTTTTTTTTAATAAGGAATCGGGTTATCCGTCGCCAGAATCCGAGTTTCGAAATACGAAATACTGTGAATCAGAATGTGCATGAACACGTGCAGTAATTTTATCATTTAAATTTGAATACTTGTTTACAAGTATGTATTTGCAATGTTTCCATTATGGTCGTGATGTAATCCTCGTAACATCAGATATTATTTTGTATGGATTAAACAGGCAGTTTGCATTATCATAACAAATAGAATTTATACATTTATATTATGTAGGTTATAAACACTCCTGGTTTACCTACTCTTCCTGAATTATCATCTATACAATTTTCCTGGATGTATTCTACAATTTCGAAATAATTATGTGAATTCGTTTTATAAACACAAACAAGCTCACCTGTAAATGAACATCAACAACTTGAATTTCCTGAAAGGAGGAAAGGCTATTGAAAAATCATATTATGGATTTTCGATGGATTTTTGCACAAGGATCACGGAGTATCTGGTCGTGCCTTCAGTCATCGGTCACCCTGTACATTGAACCTTATCAAGCCGCGTGACTTCACGCGTTGAAACTGACGTTGTAAGCTAGTTACCACACGGCGAGTTGCTGAATTTGCATGAAATATGATCACACACCTATGACGTACACCTTCCCCGCTGCATAAAACATTTTGACGAGAGTCATAGCTCTTTCCGCGACCACATCCATTTGCATCGAATGATGCGTCCTGAATCTATTCACTATCGTTTAAGACGAACACCTCGAGCATATTGTGTATTCATGTGATCGAACTATACCCGACAAAGGAACACTTCCCAATCGTAGAAGATGTGGGTAGCCTGTCTTTCTTTTCCACGTCATGAAGTATTTATTATTTTCATTAAAAATTGATTAGAAATACATGCATACAATTTAATTATCAATCTACACATTATCACTTCCTCCTTGGTCCAAATCGAAACGTGAAAAACTCTTGCTTAAATACAAGTGCCAGATAACAAATAAAAGATAAACAGCAATTATCTGATACTCGTCAAGTAAAAATTAGAATTCAAATATTAAAATTTGATAATACAAAAAAATCAAAATTTTGTAACAGACACATTTGGCAGTCCAATCGAAAAAACGTCACAAATGAATTACCATGCGTTGTATTCGTCATCAATTATTGCAATAGAATTTTGCCTCAAACAGTGGCTCAAACGTATCCCGAACAAACGTTCGCTAGTGTTTCCCAACGTTTCTACCACATTTGTGCGATACAGCACAGACGATATACTGCACACCGTGTAGGTATATATTTTCCAACTTCCACGGTAAATGTCCATTCGGTGTGCGTGGAGTGTATGTTCGTGTCTCCTGGTACTAGCGCAGGTGTCGTCGTCACAAAGTGAGCCGTAAAGCCGGGAGCATAACTAACTTCGTTTTCTACATCGTTCTCGTTTCTCCCGCTGTCGACGACGTTGTGCGTCGTTGAATAATTATGGTCGAAGGGGAAGGCAATTCAAGGTTATCGCTTCGAGTAGCCGCGACGTGATTCGTTGTGAAAAGGGAGATCGGAATTTAAATATTAACACGATTTATATTAATAACAGGACGAGGTTCGGATGGACTAAACGAGTAACTTGTTTCTCTCAGAATTAATTTCTTCGAGATTTGTACATCCACGCCACTGTCACAGTTCGACTAAAATCTGTCTGGAAACGAGGATCGGATTAAGCTGACCTAAAGGGGAGACGAGGGACTGATTAAGCTACCTCAGGTGCAAATTGAACTACCTAAGGAGCAAATTAAGCCACCTCAAGAGGTAATTACGCTGTCTAAGGGCCAGATTAAAAAAAAAGCAACTGATTAAGCTGTCTCCAAAAAGCGACAAACATCCCACGCTGACCCAAGAGTGGATGAAGTTTTGCTGGCATGTCCACTTGAACTCTGAAGACGAGACTCATCCTGAGCCATACTTGAAGTCGTAGTTGGGATTCAGAGTTCAAAGTTCAACTACTTGCCCTTCGATTAGACATCCTGTATTTACAATAAAATGTAAATTATTTTCTCTGCTCCCTTTATGTTATCTTAGTCTAAGATAGAGAAGGAAGAAATAAGTATTTAAATAAGAAGCAAAATAAAAATATAAAAGAGAAGGAAACTAGAAAATATAGAGAAACAATTCACATTTTGTTTTTTGTTAGTTAAATAACACTGCGATTTTCTGTTTGTTGGTAGGTAGATACACCGGATAGCGTATTGCAAAGTGGACTGGGTCTAGGACCAGACATGGGAAACGCAATTCTACGTTCTATGGTAGATCCAAGGGATTACGACCGATTAAGATATCTCCAAATGAACGGTGGCCAACCGAATAGCTTCGAGGAGACTATACACAGGGTATGATTACTATGTTAAGTCTAAATAAATATTATTAAACGCATTTCGTGGAAACAGCACGAGAGGAAATAACTGGAAGTTGCGAAACATCAGATTTAAAACACAATGTGTAAATTGGAAATGATAGCTATTTTATATCGTTACTCAAGTTTTTCTGTTTATCAATAAGCAGCTCTTTATCTAGTCACGCGGTGAACTGCGTGTTTAATTGTTGAAATTTGTATAAGGTAAACATATGAATACACTCGTCTGTTGACTTTAATGTTTACTAGTAAGAGGAACAGGGTTTACAATATGAATTTTCAGTATAAACAGTGGCATATTATGATAAAAGTTGTTTAATATTTGCTTCATTCTACGTTCGCAAATTTGTCAACAAATGATGATGTTTCGTTTCGACTGACAAGTGGTACACTGCACTCCTTCATGTTATTTATTTATATTTATTTGATGCTCAATTCCCTGGAAATTCAAATGTCTTATTAACACTTATTTTTAAACAATCGTTCAATATGTTCGAGCGAATTTATGTTTCTTCGAATTTTGCAGCTGAAAGTTCAAGAGGCACTGAGGAAGAAAGAGAGATTTCACAAAGAACACGAAGAGGTGAGTGCAACTCAAATTAAACTTCGTCCTTTTTTATTTTAATTTACTAATTAAATTTTATTGATATAAACATTAAAGGGAAAAACGTGGAATATATGCGTAAACTAATTGACGGAATATAATGCAATTGACAATGCCAAAGCTTAATTTGGGCTAACGCGAATTAACATAATATATTTAATAAAAATCTGAATCTATAAAAATATACTCAAATTAACATTAAATTTTTATGAAATATATTCAGATAGAGTTCAATCCAGATTTAGAAACTGTAAAGAGACCTTTTTCATCAAACTGCATTTTAATATGTAACTACGTAATAATAAATAATGATAAACTGACATATCAGCAATCGCGCAGATATAAATGTGGAAGCAAATATTTCACCTTCAGAATATATAAATACGTTCTACGTACATTATACGTGGAACATGTACATTGCATATTTAATACATCTGATAACGTGGCTCAATGTCCAGTAAATCACATGACTGTCAGGAAGGTAATTTCTCGTGAAAAAGCGAGAGATACGTAGAACGTTTTTTTTTTATTTTTTTATTATTAATGGTATAGTTGTCGAGAAAAATAATGTTCAATATGAAATTGGAAATCGATACTGTGTGTGACATTAATGGTAATTCTATCTTCTGCATTTCAGGCCTTAAATTTATTCAATACTACAATAATTATTCTCAAAAGTATACTGTGATCAATTTATTGTGTTGTCTATTCATTTATTCGTATATTTAGTATGTTTTATTATTATTATTCTTTAAGATGTGTTTTTGTTTTATTACATTGGATTTAAAAAATTAATGCCAACATATTTTCTGAATAAATTGATGTTATTCACGAGAAAGTACGTGTGTAAACGAAATTGACAATCTTTAAGAAATTACCTTCCATATTGTGTAAACAAAGAATTCATAAAGAAACACTTCTTTTTGTTCTAAATGACTTTCCTAAGTGTTATTTTATACCACAACATTCTTATTTCTCTTCTGAGATTAAGTTCCTACCTTGATGTCGCAGTTCCCCTAGCAACAAATTTATGTACCCCTAGGGGTCCGGGTACCCCAACACAAAAAACTCTGGATTGCCCGAAGATGGAGTTTCTCGCTGCTCATTTACAACCCCCGAGGTTAACGTTCTCCCAAGTTTACATCACAGTTAAGAATTCGCGTCGTACAAGTGTCGTACACGGTCATCGCGATAAGAAAGAGACCATTTCGATTAAACCAATCTGCGCCTCGGCCCGTTTATTTCCCTCCTTCAATTCTCTTGTGCATTCCCTGGATCATCGACAACCCCTCTCTCGTCGTTCGACCAATATTGGCTCTGCGAACGAATGGTTTTATCCGATACAAAGATCCCTCGCCCCTTACAATCCTCCAATCCGCTACTCGACAAAATTCTCACAGGATGAAATTTGCATGTGTGCGCTATCACTTTGTCCCCCTCCTCCAACGTCCTACTCCTTATCCTTTCTTCCTCGATGCTTTTCGGCAGTTGTTCGCCTCCTCTCACTTCCTCTGCCTCCCTCTCTCGCCCTGCTCCATCGAGTGTCTGTCTTCCGCCACTCTCGATACCTCTTATTATGCAAAGCAGTCAGATCGGGACGATGATATCATCATAATCGTCAATGTGTACCGCGACGTTACGTCGTGAATTTCTTATGCACAATCGCGAACTGTAGCCAGCGGCGTTTCGGCTCTTCTTATTCGTCCTCCGGCTATTTCGTGTGGTTTCAGCCCCAGATGCAACCGGACAGCTTTACTTTCAAAGTTGCGTCTGCTTTCTGATACTTATCTCGTTTGTCCAAATAAACGATGGTTCGGGTAAACATGATACGTTGTGTACAATAAAATTAATCATAATATGATTCGGAAAACTATCAAGATTAATTGAAAGCATTTTCAGACATATATTTTGTTATCGTTGTAATAGGTTGTAATAGGTTTGTTAATTTGTTTCTGAAGTTTGATGAGCAATTTTAAACGAAATAATTATAATAATAATAATACATATTGGACCTGGAAAATACAAGCATATGTTTATATTTCATTTTCGTTATAATATTTGGAAAAGGAAACAAAAGCATGTCGCAACCCGATAATCGCTATCTACCCCGCTTTCAAGTGTCCTGGTCCCCGTACATTCACTCGAAAACCGTATGCTTTCCACCTGCCGTAGAAAACGTGACTTCGACATTCAGAGAGTAGGTAACCTAACCTTCCCAGGCGAAGAATAAACGAAGGGGTTCATTTGCGTTAATTGCGAACGAGTTTCGAGTGTTAATTATACGAAACCGGCGATCCGGCGCATGCGATGCGAGAAAAGTTGTTCCTTTCAAAAGATTTGAGGAAGCGAAGGGGGAGCGGGGGGGATTTCGAAAAAAACAAAAAGAAGAAGAGGAAAAAATTGGTCGAAACTGCCTATTCTGGCCGGAGGCTAGTCAGCCAGGTAGAAAAAGGCCGAAAGAAATAAAGCGGAGAGTTTCCTTTGAGGCTGCGAGCAATATGTAAATAAAGGTCGGTATCCGTGTAAAAGTTTTAGTGTCACTTCCTCCTGCGCGAGTTTACTACTGCCTGGAGGTAGCCACCTTTCCTTCCTCTCTATTCTCCGGCTCCTATTCTCGCCACTAGCCGGTTGACTTTCCTTTTGCGCAAGAAACTGCAGGATCATCCCCCGGGCGACCACATCGCCATCCACCCATGGCGTCGTCCTCTCCGTCTAGGACATTGAAATAAATGGAAAATGAGGCTGCGGTTCTTCCACTTCGTGCCGATATAATTGCCACTGGAGATTGGTAGCTCAAGCTTATTGTCAATAAAGAGGATTAGTGCGAATGTAATGTTGAGAGGAGGAAAAGTTATCGTCAGATTAACTCGTTGAAGATGAAGAGAATCGATAGGTTTGCACCACCCTGTAGAATCTTTAAGTTTTTAATCGCATCAGGGATGAACATTTAGCACGTTGGATACCTGAACATATCTAGAGATAATAACATAATTATAAACTTAACAGTCAGAGCTCTATAAAGCCACTAACTTTAATTAACCCGTTAACCTATAACAACGTGTGGGACTCGTGGTACGGAATTTGAACCGGAGATGAAAAACACGAGTCAGATAGAATTTTTATCAACTTCTACGCGCATATTGTTGCTCTTCATTAAAACAAATTTATTAATTATCCCCTGCAAATTCAACATAATAAAGTATATGAGAATCTCGGTAGCTATGCTAACAGAAATGTTTTGTAAAAGCAGCAATTTCCTGTACACGTGTGCTGATTAAACACCCTACTTTATTTTATCGTATTACGAAATTTCGGCTTTAAACTGGAGCCCGTCAATACCCTTGAAGAGCTATTTGATTAAACCTGTTTCCACGGATCCATTAAGCAAATGTCTCCCTTGTATAGGAATCAATTGAAACATTAATCGCGTCTAAGCCAAGGTTTGTTGAATCAGCATTGCTGATGAACACTTGGTATATACACGTGATAGTTCATTATCAGTAACCATCATGAATAAATTCTATTAGTTCTAAAAATGGTTTCACTAAATACTAGCAATTGCAGATTTCTCGTTGCAGATTTAATGTATGTTTTAATCAAGTTGCCAAGCGAACGTTAATTCAACGATTCCATTATTGTTCTCTTTCAGATACTGAGGGATATCCGGCAAGGCTTAATGCAGCTTGGACGGGATGGACGGGGTCAACTCCCTGGAGGTGAGTACATCGAGAAGCAACCTCTAAGCTAGTTGTCGCCTTGTCGCCCCCGCAACCCATAGCGTCTCCTCCGAATCAACGCGCCATGTCCTTGGTTCCATCTTTGTGTGCGTAATTCTGTCACAATACACGGCTGTGTTTACTTTGAACGAAACCTGCACGTGCCAACCGACCTGAGAATCGACACGCAAACGCTGCGCAGGCTTAACGAAGACGCGCTCGGTTAATTTCGAGACACGTTTTGGGTTCATTAACCCTTTGGAAATACTAATGGAGGAGCTCTATAATATGCGGTTTCCGTCGTGAGAACTATTTCTGAAATGTCAACTGGTTCTTCATGTTTCGTTGATGATGAATCAGGCTTGTGCAGTTGCTTCGAAAATGTATTCCTGCGTTCATAGTGGTTGGTAAGATTTATATCATCTCTTGAAATATATTATCCGATTTCGAAGATCAAAGTGTGTAATACAATAATATGAAGTTTTAATATTCTAAACCTTAAAGTAATTCATTTAGACGTTTTATACATCAATCAATATTCCTCCTGATTAAAATTCTATTGCAACATGATCAAAAGAAGGATATTACGGAAGAAGATGATCAATTATTAAAAAATTGTATCGATGGCAGGAGAGCCTGCCAGAATTTTAAAAACCTGTTATAAATGCCAGAAAAGGTCCACCCGTGCTTTCAGTTTTTCTGCACTGGTTTTCAGGTTCCATCGGCACATAGAGATGGAGAGGTTGAAGGGTTGGAAGATTGTTCAAACAGAAACAACGAGGAAATATACGCAATTGTTTTTAGAATAAAATTGACGTTTGAAATTGTTGAGGGTTTGTTATTCCAATCGAGAAAATATTATTCATAGGAAAATTGTACAAAAGAGGGAAAAGTTTAAAACAAATGGAAGCAAGTGACAGAAACAGTCCTACAAAAGAAAGGTAGAACTGCATGAAGATTGTCAGTCCATTAAAATAAATAATTATAACATAGTTGCATCAATTCTATGCGATAACATTTTAAAAAATTTCTTCTACATACGTAGTTGCAAGTTATTTATCAAGTAATATGAAGTAATATTTATTTTTATAATATACAAAATCACCACTATTTGGATTCTTAATTGTGGCAGTTTAATCACTATAGCACATAGGTTTTCCCGAAACAATATGTTCTACCACGCCTTAGGCAGATTTATTTCGAGTATAGTTCCTCGATTCCACCTCCTTGTAGCTTTTTTCCAGAAAACCATGCCACTCCAAGGTAAAATTGCCTTGTGGACAAGAATTTCTTAACAGCGAAAAGTTTCCACGGAAAAGTTTTGCTTTTGGATGGTATTACACTGAATCGTTGAGAGGAAATGTGATCGCCTTTATGGAGAATGTTCGTCGATATATTTTAAAGTTTCGTGTTATGGTTCTCAAGGAACTGTAATACGTTCTACTTTTCTTTTAATAGTCATATTAATCACTTTTGGATAAGATGACAGTGTTTCTGCTAATACTGACTTGTAATCTGTTACTAAAAATTGAAGTATTTAAAAATCATTTTTGGAATCCATTAATGTTATAAGTGAATTTTCTAAAATGACATAGACAAAGAATTTAATAAAATTAATGTGTAATAAAATATAAATATTTAAGAATTAGAATGATATTGAATTCTTCTTTTATGTTACTTTAATAAATTCAATAAAAATAAAATTGTTAAAAAGTCATAAATGCATACCTACATGAAAAATCCAGAGTACAACAAAATAAGAAGTAATTCTCTATGGAAAAGTGAGTAAAAAATGCACAGAGAGATTATTTCTCTCCAGATCTCGTTTCCCAGAAAATCAGTTCGAAAAGTTCGTCAGTTTACGCGTGAGAGCAGGTACGAGTTTCGCTAACGTGTCTGACCATTGCCCGTTACTTCTACTTGCGCTGATTTTGTTCACACTAATGGCGGTACACAGTATTATCTGCCTTCCGTCGATGTTAATATTTTACAATTAGTTAGAACCAGTTCAAACTAATAACACCGCCGTTAATGTTTACAAATTCCACCGCAAGTAGAAATAGTATAGTTATGATCAGACACGTTAACCAAAACCGTGCTCTGCAGTACGAGCTGATCGACGAATATTTAAATTCAATTTTCTCGATAACAAAGGATCGCATGAAAACATTTCAATGTATGCGTTCGACTCAATTTCGCACAAGGAATCATGTACACATCGGTCGTAACACAGTTTTCATTGTTCCCTGTACGATAAACGATGAAAATCTTAAATGAAAACAGAGTTTAACAGTTATATTGCTTTAAATAACCATCAAACATAATTGTAACATCCTTATAATCAATTTTGATCATTTTGTTTTACATCCTTCGGTTATACTGCATTCGTATATCGCACACAAATCACAAATTAAAGTGGCAGTAAGTACAAATTATATTTTAATAAAAAATATAACAGATATATTGACTCAAACCCATTTCAATTATCAACTGAAACTCAACGCATCAAAAGAATATCGTCTTACGACTGGTGGTGTACAGTTTCTAAACGAAGCTTGTATAAATTCAATGTCGTTCTTCACGAGGCTTTGCAGGCATTTCATAGATAAAAATTTGCTGAACACCACTGAGAATTTCAAGGAAGGGTGCGCGGACCTTTCCAACCGGGAAAATATATCAGGCGTCGTAAAGAGAAACGTGTAGTGTCAAGAATAATCTTCTTGGCACCCTTTGAATTTCGTATTGCCGATTTATCACTGACTCGGCGGTTTTATTTGCTATCGCATCATCGGGGAAGGTCGGAGCCACGGCCACGAAGCCTCTACTGTATACTGACTAATCCCGTTATCGTCAACAGCCGTCGACTGCTTTCTCCACGCCTCCCTTTTCCGATCTGCTCGTTCTTTTTGTCCCTCTCGTCTCCGCACGCACGTGCGTGTTCCTCAGACAATTGATTTCGCTCACTTGTTAGTCTTTCCAGCGTCGGTGCTGTGAGGTCTTCTCGGGTCTCAGATTACCTCGCATTACCGCCATATTGCGGCAGAAAAGAAATGTTCTTGAGGAGAATTTTTCCATGTAAGAATCCACATACAATTTCTTTTACGATTAATGAAATTGTTCGTTGAAGAATATTGGGGTTTTGGAGTTTTAGGATTTTCAGAGCAATATATATTGGTTAATCCCTCCCTTGTGTAGTTTTTATTCTTGTACGTTGAATTAATATGAGTCGTATTATTCATTTACAGATGACACTTACATGTACGACGAAGACGCACGTTGTGGAGGAGGCTTAGGTCCAGGTCCTGGAGGTCAACACTGGTACGACGAGCCTCCTTACGAGTCCGATCCTGAGGATTTCCTTATGGGAGCCAGTGGTGGTGCTGTGCCAACTGCAACCATACAAAATGGAAGGTGAATCGAGATAAATGAGCTCTAACTAGTAATTTGTATTACAATTTCCACAAAAAATTTTTAATGTAAACAAGGAATGATTTTTTAGTAATTTTTCACTACAAGTTATATTATGCTTTTCCGCACTTCTATTATGTATTAATGTATGAATCGCGAGAGTGTACGTAAATATAGCTTAACGTTGCAGCTATGAAACTGAATAATTTTGAATTATTAATACTAATTAATCCTTTGCGTTCGGATGTCGCTCCAGAGGCAACACGGAGTTAGAAAATGACACGCAAAATTAACGGTAGAATGTTATTTCGCGTATACGATACAATGGTATCAGAAACTGATTCGTGCTTACTAACGTGATAAAGGCAGATTAATTGCTATTCATGGTTCTCGGGAACAATATATTCAACTCGTTTACGAGAATTTCGAATCAAATTTCGCATAGTAAACACAGCGCTTCCTACCACATTATTATACATTTAATTACTGTTTTTTATCTATGGATTGCACTCAATCAATTTTCAACCTTAGCTGCTTAGCCACATTTTTGTTTATCATACTGTTTATTAAATAATCTATTGATTCATAGAAGGGGCAATATTAAGACCTAAACGAAACGAAAAATTAAGGTCAGAACACATACCACATTCCATTTTTATATTTTTTCATAAGAAGTCAATTTACTTTATTTTAAAATGAAATGTTTTGATTCATCTTTGAATTGTAAATTTCCACTGATTATTAATTTTTACGCGTTGACCATTCAATTATTTACAAATGACATAAATATTCTGTTGTTCATTTCAGAGTGTGCTTCACACTGAATTTAAGGCCAGAGAACAGGAGCGAGGGAATCATCTCGCTTCGGACCGCCGGCGACATTAGTTTGCCTCGGGATCGTTCCAGGAAGGGAGCAACGTCGATGATGCGGGGGCTTATTGTACCGCAAGGTCACAATAATCCGCCGACCATAATACCACTGACGCACTCAAGGGCCTCTCGAGAAAGCGGAGATTATGCGAGTAGCGACGTACAGGTAAGTCTGCACGAGACATCTGCCTCCGAAAGACATCGTGCATTCATCTGAGGCAGAAATATATGTGACGTCACACCGTCAATCAGTTCCATTTTGGATATCATGTGCAATAAATATCACGGTTCGAAAACATCAAATCCTTATTGTGAAATGCGTCGCTTGGTATATTCATGTAGCTCGTGACTGGTTTTTATAGTTTTATATTTTTGGGGTGAATCCGATCATTACGTTGAAAATCCGAAACGATTTGTAATGGTAATTATAAAAACTTATTTAGCTTTAAAAGTGGATAAGCTGAGGAGTAATTGTGTATGTAGCCCGAAAGTGGATAGTTAGATTTAGAATCATGCAATATCTTTTATCAAATCAGATATTTTCTCTTTCTTACGGGTGACAAAATATTTCGTCTTTAGCAAGCCAAACGTTGAGGCCGGGCGACGAGATACGACGAAATATGACGCTCCGTTTTCGGAACGCCCAAAGATGTGCGGGTGCTGGAAGCGCGTTGTGCGAGCAATTTATTAACTGCATTCACTCTAACGCGCTTCTTATTTGTACATCTGGAACAATATCCTTTCCACTATTTTTCATTTATTCTTCAGAAAACGAATTCCTTATCTAAAGGGGTTTTCTGCTAGCAAAAGTAAACCCTGTACATTTTCCACATTTAATTAACCGAGTAAAACTACAAGAACTTCGTATTTATCTTTGTCTACAAACTTTACAAGCTACGGTCAAGTGCTCGTAATTACCAAGCAAATTTGGACAGCTTATCCACTTTCTGGTTTCACAACTCAACTATGAAATCAATTTTAAAGTCAACTCCCTTTTGTAAAAAGTAAAAACTAAAAGATTCAACAAATTTTCCCCGCAGTTTCAATAAATACATCTTTTTGTTTCATTGTTTCTCCCAGTAAAGACACCTTACGTTTCCCTTAGAGCTCTGTTATCGCTATTCGGATTCACTCCGCGTTCAATGGTTGTTTTTGTCGTAAATCCACGAAAACCTATTAGCAGTTGGCTGTTAACCCATGTTGAAATTACGTTAGTTTCCGTATTGGGAGAGACAGCAAAGGGCTATGTCTTTGTTCCTCCCACGTTCAGCTCGATCTGTCTCACCTTTTCCTTCGCGAAGGGACGCCAATGCGTGATTGATTTAATTTTTGGACGGTGTAGAGTGTGAGTTCGAGACTGTCGACTGTGTCGGTGAACACGAGTAGGAATGATCAACCTACAGTGGATGATCTTCACTCTGACCATCACCATCGCAACAGTCGCTACGCCCACTACGTACAGTACCACTAACCGACATTACTATCATTGCGAACAAGCCAACATTCAATCAACGCCTGCCATGACTATCACCACCACTTACACTGCCAATATTATATATCCTTGCTGCTGATATCCAATGCGCGTTATATATATATATATAGAAATGTTTGTACTTGCCTACACGTATATAGGAGCCCATCACAACAATTTTCACACACGAACTCAGGTATACGAAATGAATTTGGAGATCGTATCCTAAAATATACATTTGTTTTTGTTATTTGAAAATAATCCTATAACAGATTTCATTTTTATTTTGTCCTTGATTGGTTCGTAAGGTATGAGGTTATATGTTGGATGTTCTTTGGTTTATAGGATAATTTTGACGTGAAGAGCGACGGATGTTAGAAAATTAAAATACGAGGTGTTGGGAAAAATGCGAAGGGCCTCGAATAATTTCAATTTTATATGTAAACTTCGCCTGTGAACCTATATTCTTGTAATTAATTACTCTCATTTTTTAACGCTTCGTACGGAAGAAATCGATGGATTTTTTATTGACTTGATCGGTTGCGCTTTGATTTCAAAGAAATGTGTAATCCATTGAGCGGAAGGTGGTCTTCTTTTTGCTTCCAAAGGGGATTCTATTTAATGGGTCGATCTTCAAAAATAAATTCCATATACGACATGTATGAAAGAAAATGTAAAGTTCAGAATATATAAACGTCTATATAAACAATCCCATTAAATAATAAATAAGGGTATGTTTGTATTCTAGCACAGAGTTAAATTTAAACGAATTCGAGAGGTTGAGCAATCCACTTCGGGCTAGGCTATTTGTAGTAATTCGCTATCTTCTAGCGTCGAATCGCGATTATATTCCTGGGAACACCTTCCTATTTACCTAATGGAACAGAACCAGAGCCGCATACTAATCCATTTAGTTTCTTGCCCGTACGCAACACCGTCGCGAAAACTTGCGTATGGGTGTATATGCCTCGACGATTACACTTTTACACGCGCGCGCACGGCATACAGGTCGCAGGAACAAACATCAACATCTTCGATTCAGGAAGTACGAAATTTCTCTAGATTAAATGCATAGCCAAGTATACGGGTGTGGTATTCATGAATATTGATTTTTCATGCTGGTTAGCCGTGCACTATCAAAGCATATTCGCAACGTGGTCTAGCCGTACAACCTTTTAACAAATCTCTCGCGAATTCCGCAGATATACCCGCACCTCCAACATAATCGCAAGCGAATCTAATCTAAATGAGCCCGAACGGTATGTTCCAGGCTCGTATCATGCTTTTTCATTCTGTAAAGTTTAGTCCAGGCCAAATCTTGTTTGTTTTGATAAAACAAAATCAGATCAAATACATAAGAAGTTAGTAATGAGATTTTCAACCATGCTTCATATAAAATACAACTATTATTTTATATATTTGTTCACCATTAGTATTTAACACAATCAAAGCTAATAGCAATCCTAGCAATGAAATTCATTTCCTAAAGATCACGATTCAAACCAAGAATCTACTCATGTACCAAAATCTCTCGCCGACAGACATAGTTATCGTGCATATGGTAAATCCCTACTAGAGTGGTTTGTAAGATGTTGAGCTAGTCGGCAGAGTGTATAGACTTTGCTTAAAGCGTATAGCCTTTGTTCGAGGAAAAGGTATTAATAAAGCTCTGTAGGGTGGAAAAGACTGATGACTTCCGATAAGAAGATTGTAAGGGATGGCACAACACTTGCCTCGCATCTTTCTATGAAAGAATATCGCGTCAGTTTAGATGAAACTTTGCATTCAGGTAGAGCATTGAAAAATATCGCACACGTATTTTTTATTTTATTATTGAATAATTTACCAGCCTCAAAGTTGTGAGTGAAATAGCTGTTTAATTTCTGAAAAAATGAGGGTAAGTTTTTGATTAATATTTATAAAATCTGAAAATACTTTTTGCCGTGCTCTTTCAGTTTTTTTTAAATTTATTTGAATATGTATTTCATCCACAATATCGAGACTAGTTTTCACCTATTAAATTTTAGTATTAACGTAAAAAAAATATATAAATGTTAGAGCAGATAATACGTGTGTATTATTTTTCGTTGCTTTATTTACGTGAATTTACAAAATTAATCTTCTAGAAAAATAAATTTGCATTTCAACTTTCCATATTCCTCCCACGTTGCACCGTGATTTGACGTGGATCACATAAAAGTTTGTACGATATGTACAACATATTTTACCATTAAGGCTACCTTTCACCGAATGAAACAATATCCGAGGACGTCAGCGAAGAAAAGTTTCTTTGCGCCGACGATGAGTTGACCAACCGTCCTTCGTGAACTTTACAGCGAATGGCTGAGAATGCAACTTTTCCAGAAATTTCATTCAAAAGTTTTAGAACGCGTAGTACACCGCTCTCAATTTCTGCTACGTATTAGGATACCGTATTGCAAGTCGAGCGCTTTACGTCACGAACAATGTATCAAGAGTTTGTACACGAGGGCATACTTTCAATTCACCAAGGGAATGCTTTACCTGAAATTTTCTTCGAGGCATGTTTAGATAGAAATTTCATCAATCTGACTATTTCCACTTACTACTTTCACGTGATTGGGTTCTTTTCGCTCTGTGCATACATTTCATTCTCTTCAATTTAAGTAGAAACAAATTTTCCGAACACTTTGGGATCTAATCCAACTCAAGCCTCAACAAAGATAAGAATAAAACAATAAAAATATCTCATCAAAGAAAATTTACCGAAGAACTCGCAGCAAAATTAAAATTAAAACTATATGTTGCAAGTATTTCGGTGTCATTTTGTCGAGATACATCGATGAAATAAATAGGGCGAATCAAGAACGTAACAATCACTTAAATGTACCCCGATTTTGTCTTCCTGGAAGCTCATAGCATGCACATATATTCTGGGCTGATCCTCGTACGTGCACGAATGGTAACTATTTTTATATCCAACTCATACTTGTATCCTAATTCTGGCGTTCTCTCGATTTACACTACCGATGGTACCTTCACGTTTGATTTTAATCTAGCCTATTTCTCTTTTGTAACGACCAATCCTCCTCTAACACACCGATCTACTATATACGCAACTAGACCGAAATAAGTCCGCTTCTCCTTTACATATGCGTGATTAGAACTGTCTCTGTGAGTATCAACGTTTTAGAGCCGGAGTAGCGGCGAAGAAGGACTGTCACCGAGCCAAAGCAGCGACTACGAGGATCAAGAAGAACTTGAGAATCAGCACTCCGCCACCGTACACGCAGTACGTGACATATACAAGTCCTCCTGTCACGAATGTCTCCTTTCTCTGTATCTTCTGTCCTTTCTATTGCTGCACTGGTAAAGTGTCGCATGATTGTGGCTAACGTAGAACAAAAACTCCTCTATGTGTGTGCTAGTAGTTATTATTAAATAGTACACATGGTGGAACGCTGTTGGGTCGGTGGGAAAGTGATGTCTGTTTTAACCGAAGCAAAGCTACTGGTAACGAGCAGCTTATAGTTGGATTGTAGGTTATTTTATTATTACTGGGTTACATTGAATGTTTTGGTCAGAACTATGAGGTTTATCGAATGCTGTAGTGGTCAATAATGCTAGAATAGTTGCTGAAAAATCGAATTGCAGCTGGGAGAATAGGAAAGTCTCAACCTGACGATCACGGTATGATGTGAATTGTGACGTTACTTTGCTAAATATTATAACTAGACTGCGATATTTATGGATTTATGAAAAATATGTATGAGGAAATCTATAAGAATGTGTACAAATGCAATAATAATATACATGTTACACCGTTTAAAAGATAAAACATATTTCTATTCAAGTTTCAATTTTTAATTATCTAATTATAACGAACAATAGTAAATTCTTTCTGATAGAAAATAAAAATGTCAAAATGATTCCACTCGACATTACTTTCTCACCGATCCAACGTAATTCTAACCATGGTTACCGTGCACTTACATTTAGAACGCTTTTTCGTTTGTTAATTTTTTACGTTTGGTCTGTCCGGTGGGGTAAGTCAATTTTTTGATATCCATAGTGAATATGTTCACTCGTCTAGTTGACTTCTTTGAGAACTATTGATTGTCTTTACTTTTCAATTGATCTTGGTAATTTCTGTAAATGAATAATCAAATTTTCATCAATGAAAGTTCCACGTGACCCATTAAGGTCTCTTTTGATTTCAAAACAGACAGGTGAACATAATCCAGACTTTACATCTGTATGCACGCAAGTTTTGATCACTTATTAGTGATTCGATCTCATTATCACCCATTCTTGTGCCGCTTCGCTGAATATTAGTCGGATGCATTCTACTGCGCAGTAGCGTTACGTCAAAATATACACGCAAAATGCAAAGGTAGACGTATATAAACATTATCACGAGTTATACAATCACAACACGTGCGTCTACTCCACCGACAAGTCGACAACGACGTCGTGCAGGCTCGAAGCCGAGGTTCGACGCCCATTGTGAATCTTCTACGATCGTGTCATATATATATAATCGTTGCATGTTGTCAAAACTTTACAGAACAATCGTTCTAATTTTCAATTGAGTCCGATTAATCCTGTATATCTTTTGTAAAAAGACTTCATCGATTGACTTCTATTCGATAGAGCAGCTACACGAAACGAAGTCCCAATTGACTTACAATAGCAACGCGGATACTTGAATAACCGTGATGGATATGTCAGAGAATTTAAAAAATTATGATAGAAAACGTAGAATATGAATGGTTTGAATTAAAACATATAAGTATAGAATAAAAATTATTCTATAGCGCCTAAACATTGACACATGTGTTCGAACCTTGGCGAACGTTGGCACATGTGCTCGAACCTTGGCGAACGTTGGCACATGTGCTCGAACCTTGACGAACGTTTGCACATGTACCTTCGATTGACTTGGCCCTATAGCTCCACAATACCAACCAATTTCTACTCCTTTACGAAAAAAAAGAAAGTGAAGAACAGCAAACTCTATTTCACGCATAAATTCATGCCCTAATGAAATCCACGACTTGATTGATCCACTGTACAACTGTTTTGTGTGGCTCTTCTATCGATCGAACAAACAGCCGTTTACGAATCTCCTCTTTTCATTTCCATGAATATGATCAGAAAGAAAAAAGCACGATCGACCATCCAGCGTTATTCAATTCCCTGTTAAAATTTCCAGTCGGAAGCTAGCGTTCTGCTGGAGGGCGACGCTAGGGCGCGGATCGCAGGACGAGCGAGAAACCTGCGACACGACGTACAACGCAAAATCTCGAGGCTTCGCCAGGATCGCGCCTCTTCCGAGGCTTTCCCATGCAGTGCTAGCAGCGTTGAAAGTCTTCCGAGCGGCAGCGGTTCCAGTACACAAGCGCTTGTGCGTGCTGGAAGCAATCATAGTTCGATATCCTGCGAGGACAGAGACGCTATCAGCCCGACCACCATGGGGCCTGTGCTCTGCAGGGCTAGGGCACTGGTGGACTACACGCCTAGCCCCTATGACAAAGACGCGCTGAAGTTCAAGGTTCGTTATGTGCCCGAACAAAATTTTCAATTATTTAATCTTGACAATAGGGTCGAAACCTCAGCGAACGTTGCCACATATGCCTTCGGTACATATATCCTAGATTTGAAATCTCATCCTCACGAGGACCTAATTGAGAAAGATGTCCCACCCTTACAGAACTTCAATATGCACATTGAACAGGTTGAACAAAGGACCCGAGAGAAACGTCATTAATTTCTAAAGTCGCCGAAGTCGTGTTCCTTTCTTTGAAACTTTTCGTAACGACGTAAGCACTTTACAGGATCGCCCGTTAAATGGAAACGAATCCGGGCGACGAATATCGTGCTTCATTCAACTTCATCCGAAAGTCGAAGGGTTTTCGTGGGCGAGTCGCAAGGTAAATCCCGTCGCTGGTTTTGTTGCAGAAGGGAGACATCATCGACGTGGTGCAAATGAACAAGAGCGGTCTGTGGAAGGGTATCATGCACAACAGGATAGGCCACTTCAAGTTCATAAACGTTGAGATACTGAACGACAGGGTTCCAAGGCGCGGGGAATCCGAGGGGCGGGGGAAGTGGGGCCAGAGGTACAGGCAAAAGCCCGGTTCCGTTCAAGAGCTCTTGCAGAGAATGAATCTTCAGGTAGAGAGCAGTATCTTGCTACGGCTCGAACAAACTGATTCGCATTTGCATTGCTTCGAATACAAAGCAGGGATCCAGCTTTTATACATTTCTTTATTCGTTGGACCTCTTTCTTTTCATGCGCGCTAGCCCCCACTTGTTCCGTTCAGCACGTACCTTTTATAACGCGTGCAGCCTCACGGTTGCTCCATGGATCGTGACAAGTTCCCTTTTCAGCGACACTTTCTCACTTTTACTTTTCTTTCGCTGCGAAATTTTAAATAATTCGCGCGAATGTCCGCATTGGCTTCAAAGTTATTCGATTGATTGTCACTAGGTATGAAACAGTTGGGATAAGTATGGGAAAATATTCCGGTGTACAAATTGCATTATTTAACACGTTGACTGGCAGCCAATACACTTGAAGATTTCTAATGTTCTAATCTTTTAATGTTTTTTAATTAAATTTGACACAATCTTCAGCACGATTCTCTCATTGAATTTGTGAATAGTTCGGCTGAAATGCTAATTCACACTCGTTTAAAGAAGACATTGTATTTATCTATTGATCTTTTGTAGAATTGTAATAAACGAGCATATATGATTATAGTTTAAAAGACATTAGACAAACTTATGGAATGACCTGATATACTCATTTAAAACGAGTATCTATGATATGAAGAGTGATTTCTCTCCTAAAGTCGAAAATATTGTAACAACGAAATATGATATAGATTATACCGGGTACACGTTGATGCAACATTATTAAAATTGGCAGTTGACAATACGCGTCGTTCCCTTGTCGGATCAGTGTCTGCAATAACGTAACTAACGAGTCACATTTAGCTCACTGCATCTCTATACATTATCAAGCCATTTCACTCGCTTAATCTCAAGACGTGCACGTTAATATTTCACGTGTACAGCAAGCATACTGATCTGTAAACGTTTGGCGCGAAATTGTGTCAGCGAAGGCCATCGAAGCTTATTTTATTCACGGAACACACTCGCACGACAACAATATACGCTGCGTTCCTACGTAAAATTTCTAGCAGAACTTTCGACTGGTTATTCCACTGAATATTAAGGAATGCATACTGCTTCGACATGACGGGTGCCCAAAGCACATTACTCTAGAATTGCAAAAGCAATATTGGATTTCAATTTTACTCGATGCCCGGATCGGTCGACGGGGACCCGCGGAGTGGCCGAACCATTCTCTGCATCTCCACTCTAGAGTTTTATCCGGTGGAATAAACTAAAAAATACTCTTTATCGAGGGAAGCTGCAACACCCGGAGGACACGGGGCAGAAAATGACTGGAACGTATCGCACACGTGTTCCTAGAGTGATGCAATTAAAAGAAGTGAGTTAGCAGTGAGTTGTTTAGTATGCAAACAATATCGACGAAGAAACAGTTGCTGATGGTTATTTTAGTATTCGAGTTTTTCTTGCATTGCATTCATACTTTACCAGCAGTTTATTATTGAATGTATGCAAATGAATATATCGATAAATTAATCTGGCAATTGAAACGATATATTGTCACTGGTCATTGAATTTATGTATTGATCCTTTGTAGAAGTGTAATACAAAGCATGTCCAATCCACATTGATGCCCTAAAAGTACATTCAAATTTACGAATCGTGTTACAGTGAAACCCGTACTGTTAAAACGCGTGCTATGCGATGTTTCGCTGTGCTTATTTTCACAATTACTTTAACTATCTCACCGCCAACTTTTTCCCATCTTTAACGTTCCAGTTTTCTTCCACCGTTTGCTCATTCTCCGTTTTTCCTATTCTCTACCCGTTTCTCCAGTTTCAGTAAACTTGTTCTTTTTCCTCTCTTGTCACTCCTTTTTTACCCCGCTATACGTGAAATTGTTCATCTCTCTTAATGCCGTACAGTCCGTCCACGGATTAACTTTCATCGTATTTCATCGCCGACTGAAACTGTCGCAAAGTTAACGATGATGTAGATATTAATCAAAGCACAAAATAAAGTCGACTGAATCCACCACGAGTACTAATTCCTGAAATGTTGCAACTTAATAATTCTAGATTGGACGTCGAATGAATCTATGCGGCGAAATAATAGAATCGTGTAAATTATGTGATTTTAACAGCGATTTGCATACCCACGAACCAACGGGGAGTGGTAAAATTCCAATTAAAGAAATGTATTCTCTTTACATCTGCATAATATTTATTTGTGTCATTAACAAAAGAATGAGTGCAAATGTGAATTTTTGGTCGAGATAATGATGCGAAAGAAAGTGCAGACGATACTAATGAAAAATCGAACGATAATTCTTCTCAGGAGCACATTCCTGTTTTCGTGTTGAACGGATACGAGGATCTGGAACTCTTCAGAGAAATAGAACCTGCGGATCTCGATTACCTGCGTATACATCAGCCAGAACATCGTGCCAAGATCCTTACAGCTGTACAATTGCTACACGATCTACAATGTGAGTTACTTATAGTTCGACCTTCGTATTCCATTTTGGCATATTGTAGATCATTTTCTTTTTGAACTCCACATATTCCATAAAAATAGAGTAGAGTTGAAAGTCAAAATTAAATTATTAGATGGCACATATTTCATCCATTTATAGACCATTGAAAAATATTAGCACTATCTAATCCAGCTTATCAATAGTATCCTTATATAGTTTTCTGTATTACCTCAATTTTTCCAAAACATTTTCTTCGTTCTTCAGACTCCTCTTAGTAAATTAATCTACTACGCGATTGTACTACACGTGCACCACTTATTTGTGCTGATCTATTCACCCGTCAATTTTGTTATAAATATTCAGTTCTCACCCTGACCTGACTTAACCACCAAACAATGAAAAATAATCTAAACCATTGGATGTCCCAATACAATTCCGAATAATCAAAATTCCTCGAGGTAACGGAACTATACGTCGGTTTTTGTTGTATCCCAACAGCCGGAAGCGAGGGAGATTTAGCATCAAGTTCGGAAGGCGACGAGGTCAGTCGACTGGTCCTAACTTCCGACCAGACGTCCGGCCACTGTTCACCGTTTAATCGTCGCCAGTTCCCGCGAGATTCCGGCTGCTACGACGCCCACAAGAATCCCACCAGTCGACGAACCGTAAGCCCGGAGTCTGGAGCGACTACCAAGCTGCCCAGAGAGAACAATCTCGACGCCACAGCGTCCGCGAAGGGTATCGGTGGCGTCAGCGCGGAAGGGAACACCGTGTCCGATGGGAAAGACGACTTTCATCCCAACATACCCATCGTTGGGAGCGTGATCAGCCAGAAGGAAGCTCCCTTCGACAAGTCACCATTGTTGCGTAGCGGGAACATACGATTCATGACGAAAAAGGGAAACTTTGGCGAAACCGTGGTGATCGAGGACGCCTGCGATAGTGGACAGAAGCTTGGTAACCTGGTGAAATACGTGGTGGGGAGCAGCGACATTGGCCTCGAGGGTCCAGGCGGCGTTCCTGGCCTCGGACAAAGGGGTTGTATTAGTGAAAAATCCAGCGACTCCGGAGTCAGCTCATCCAGCATCAGCTCGGCGCCACCGCCTCGGGACAAGGCTCTAGCCAGCGTTGCTTCAGATTCGCCTACCAAGAACTTCGGGAACTTCACCAGGGCATCGCCCACCTCTCAACCAGCCAACAAGACTCAAAACGGCGACTCTGGATACCCGTGAAGAGTAAATGTAACGTTTCGATTCATCTTGCTTCGACGATCCGTGTCCAGTTTGGTTGTCAGAGAGTCATCGCGTTGTTCGTGTGACACAGGGTCGAATGATATTGCGAGTTGGCTGGCAAGTGGCAGCGTTTCGACAGGTTGAACGGATGACAAGTTGAATCTTCAGGAACGTTTTCTCGAATTTGGAACGAAACGATACCAAAGTAGGGTTTAGAAGTTTCCAATAGTCAACACTAGAGATCTCCGCAACCGAAGTACGCTGAGAGTGTCACCTGGTCTGTACAAGATCAATGGAAAGGTTCGGTAACATGTCAAACATCCTCGTTGCTTCTAACGATAATGGAATAGAGGAAGAAAATTGTTTGTGGAAAGTTCTTTTTGTATCGTCAAGAGCAAATTTTTTGATGGCTCTGAAAGGGAAGAGTGGAAAATCTGGTAAGAGTCTTCAACGTGCCCTGATGAAATTTTAATGAATCACGAGATACCACTTCTGAGACAAAGACTTAATGGTAATTGGGGCACGGGTTCAAGTGGGGCACATGTGTACGCGAACCTTTCTATCGATTTTGCATCATCGAGTCCAACCACGGCCGCACACGTTCGATCCACCTTGTAAATATTACAACATAGAAGTTTGCTTTAATTTCGCCTCACATAACACGGAATCGTATTTTAAAATACATCAGATCGAAGGAAATAACGAGGTGCCTTGGTACCCTTTGTTGCCTTAACGATCCTTTCTCCTCGTTACTTTATAATCAAAGGTACGCCGCCACCGTTTTTTCTTTTTCATTTTTTTTTTTTTTTTGTTTTAAGCAAGAATTCCAGCTTCATTTGTCCCTTCCTAAATTTCAATATCAAACAAAGGATGTACTTCGTTATTCCCATCTTGAATTTGTAAAAAATCTCGAGTAAAGGAGACGCAACGGATGGCGAGAGGTGTAAGAAACAGAATTTAAGCAGTTTTAACGAGGAGAGGCCGCGGCGAAGTTTCTCCAGGAGTTCGTGGCTTCGCACGAACGGAACGAATTCGGGTGGTGAGGTTTTGAATTGAGAGAGAGGGTTGGGGAGAGAGGGAGAGAGACGGGAAAGAAGAAATTACGTCACTGCCTGATCGCTTCACGATCTCGTCTGTTATTTTCAACGCTCGTGTAATTAATAATTAAATAAGCGAATATTATGTGATACAATAGCAATATACGTCCCCCTAATGTGTAGATAGGTAAAGTAAAAGCCTGTAATAAAAATACGACCGTTGAGGAAACGATTGAACGAGATACGACGGCACGATAACGATCATTTCACAGTTTTATTACGTTGTATAGGTCTTCTTAGCGATTATCATTTTTCTCGACGAAGTGACTGATTCTTTTAGATTAGTGACTCTTAGATTAAAGACTGCCAAGTTTTTCTACGAGAAGGAGAGTCGTTCATCCTTTGGTTTCTAAGCTGTTGCTACGTTTTGTCGGTTTATACTAACCGTGAACAGAAGAGTGAACTGCACTTTTGGCTACTCTTGCCAATTAATACTGCTGAAGAGCATGAACTTATTAGCCCTCTATAGCCCTTGTGTATTCTGAGGTCACATTCCCATGTATCTATATTATCAAAAAATTCTTGTTGATAATAATTGTTAATTAGAATTTCTGAAACGAAGACGATACACTTGGCAACTAGCTTTTATTGAAAGTTATACCCTTCTTAATAAATTTCATTATCAGTGCTTAGGAGTTATAGAGGGTTAATGTTCTCCTGTTTGTCTCGAAATTCGAGCATGCAAGGTGAAAAGCAGCAGGTTTGGTTAAAACACTAAAGTGAGAAATCTGTGGAAAATTGAAACATCTTTCTTCCATACTAGTTGTCTCATTCATTATTCAATTTTATTATTCAGTATCATTACAGAATGGGATACCAAACGTTGCCATGCAAAAGATCTTGTTTCCTTCTAAAAATAATGGAAAAAGAAGTCTGAAACATTTTTTTTTTTCATATTACAAAAAGCACCATTTTTGATAGTCATGTTTGATACCTCGTTGGTATTTGCGTCCCATAGTTGTAAAGCTTACAGATGCCTACGATACTTGAGTTTCGATTATTAGAGCGACGTTTGGAGTACAGAAACATGTATCCAAGGATATTTTGATATCTGTGGAATAGGATACAACATTAAAGAAATTGTAATTGCGTTTGTTTTCTTAGTGTTAAAAAATTCTACGATGCTATTATTCAAGACATACATATTCACAATCTGCATATCCATCTAAATGCAGCTGGTAGCATCACTTCTTAAGATTTATTCTAAACAGTTTTTACATTTTTTTTTTCTAGCATAAACGTCTCATTTCAGAGGAATACATTACTAGTACACGATCGACAATCCCCATCATCGATGCAACTTAGTTCTTCGACAAGATGGTAACCTGTACATGTGTATATTCACCATGCCACGTGAAACGTTGAAAGTTACAAAGTTTTTGTATGTACATACAATACGCATAGAAACCTAACGATGTTTTATATTGACCCAACCTTTGCCAAAACATTAGACTATACAAATCTATAAATATACGTACGTTATATATAACACCGTTGGATCTTATGTACATCTTTTGTATAGTGTAAAGTGGTAGTAGAGTTCGAAAGGGCAACGCGTAAACGAAATCAGGAACGAAATCTACGCGAGGTGAAAGAGAAAAAAAAAAAAAAATCGATCGACGGCACAGAATCTAACTCGATTTGTACGCATCCGAGATATTATATATCGCATTACTGTAAATAGAAGCCATGTACTCATTTTTGTCGAAAAAGAGTAACTCGATCATTGTCGAAGACGACGGAGACTGATGAGCAAGCGTTAGAAGAAATCTTGTAGAATTTAAGATGCATGTTCACCTTCTTCATTATTATCGATTTACGAGTAGTTTTTTGGGAAATTCACTTCCCCCATTTTTTCGAACGCTATTTCGTACGACCATTGACGAATGGAAAGCAATTATTGTACATGTGAAATTTTGTCGTTCGCGACTCGACTGGGGGCGGGGGAGGCGATGACACGCGCACGACTCGATTTTTGTTGACACGTACTGCTTCCACAACTGCGACTGATTTGCTGTATGTCTTTCGTGGATACGTGGGGCGTCGTGTGATTCTCGAACAAAAGAAAAGAAAACGAAATTCACGAGAACTCGAACACGTTGTAGGTGATAATAAAAGACGAACTCTGCGGTTATGTTGAATTAAGTACGGGATGCCCTCGTCGATAGGCATCGATATCTCCAAGCAGTGACTCTATTCAGAAGTTTGACAGTTTTAGCAAAATAAATTAGCGAAATGAAAAAAAATCTTTATTATAATAATACACGAATTAACGATAAACGCTGTAGCTTATCCGTTCCATCGAGAGTAACATTATTTGTAGAGAACGAGTCAGGATGAAAATGAGAGGGAGAGAGAAAGAGAGAGAAAGAACGAAGAGGGGTGGACGAATGCGTGAGAGATGTTAATTGACGACTACTTTACGAGAGTACGAGTAGGCACGATAGTGATTTTATTAGCTCGGGGAGTACGCAGCATTCGATGTACAAAAGAAGATACATTCTAATAGTAGACACAATAAGCTGTAATTTAGATAAGTAATTCGAGAGAGAAGAGCTTCGAAAGGAAAGTTAAAGGAGCCTAAGCGCGCCCATGTTCGAAAATGGGAATCGGTTTGTTCGCGAACGTCTAATGAAACGAAATGGCCACCGTCGGAGAAAAACGTCAAAAGCATTGTGTCTAGAAGGTCGTTAAAAATCGCTAGTGAAACATGATTAAGCATCTACTTAGCGGTCTAGTCTACCTATTCTTGCGAAGTTTACAATTCGAGGTATAATGATGTACATAAAGAAAATAAAAAAAATAACGAAACTAATTAGGAAACGGCGAATCGTGTCAGTGCACGTACGCTGAACATTTTGATATGCTAATTTTGTATTTATTCATTAATTGCGGGGTTTACAGAGGTCACAATTCGTAATTCTTATTGTCTCTTGGTTCTCGTATGATTTTCGACGATAACTGCTAATTTATTGACGGTGAATAAAAATAAACGACAGAATACGCAGTCTGGTTTCTTCTTGTACCCCTCCCGAATAATTCCTAAAATCCTGGTTTGGTATTTTCAGAGTGCAGTTGAAAGTCCAATTCAAAATAGTAATTTTTAGTAGAAAGGTAAGGAGCTAAACTAGGTTACGAATAGAATATGACACGAAATGAATACGTCAGAGTGAATAGGAGCTAACACGACTTCGCTGTTTTCAGTCACTATTTAACTTGTTAAGAAAAATGTTTCCCAGATTATATGTAGATGCTTTCAGAGGTGAAAAATACAGCAAATACACTGTCAGAGAACACGGTCGGCCTTTTGAATGGGAGCTCGTTCGCCAAAAAGTACGTCATAAAAGAGATGCCCGTCAGTCGGATGAACTTTCCTTGAAAGTGCGATAAAAAGCATTTAGTAATGTATGTAAATGCACCCTTTGAGAATCATTTCGAACGTAACGACGTGTACGTGTCCATTTGTAACCTTTATTTCGGGCCCCTTAAGAGAACCGAAGTTACTTACTTTTAGTGGAGCTGCATTATGATGGCAATAACTCGTCGAATTTCTTTTCCTGCTAACGGCGCCGACCACGTGAGTAAATTCGTTGCCCGTTTGGCTTGAAATCTAATTTAACTTTTAAAGTCACCGCGCGAAATTACAAAGATTAGTGGCGATTCTCGGGGTTGCCCCGCGAGATTTCCAACTTCGTCTAGTTTCATGTTCTTAGCCTGGTGGGCTGAATGAGGATTACCATTTTTAGGTATGGTACACAGTATTCGTGATAAAGGAATGTACTATTCATCTCTCGCGAATGTAATCCATAAGTTGATTAATAACATCGTTGAAAACAAAGTTTATAAAGTGCCTTTCATCCGACTCGTAATTATTTAATTTCGTGAAATTATTTGCTGGAGAAAATTGAAAAATTATGTCGGAAAAATATGGTTCAACTATGGTTGAAATATGGTCCATCTCTTAGCTGGAATAACTAAAAATTAATTTCTGACAATAGTTACATTAATTATTAACAACATTTGTTCAAGCAATGACCGAGAGTATGACTTTACTGTAATATTACACCGCGCGGACCGCGATAGATGCTTTTTCTGAAAATGTTCAAGATCCTTACTAACCAATGAGTACCTAGTTTGTGATTTTAGTCATCAACCAATTACATTTCTCTTAAGTAGTGCTCCGACGGCCTAATAGTTTCCGAGATATTGGATCACATAAGTTTTGTCCCTCTAGATCGCTGAAATATCACACTGTGCGCTGGTGCATTGTTCCTTTCCGTCGATTGCTCATCTCACACGGTAGCGATTCAGCTAAATCGTTCAGGTTGCATTTCAATCTGCGGCACTCTGACTTAGCAACCCAGTGACGATTCAGCAGAATCTCATCCGCTAGTTCCAAGCATCGACCCATAGGTGCAGTGACCCTAAAGCTAGCGATTTTTCGAGTTAAAGACCACCCCAAGTGTATCGTGATGATGAGAACAGCGCACCGGTGTGAGGGAATCTTTACTTTTGCAATGTATGCAGAACTCATGAATTAAATGCCTATACTCTTACGTAAATGCAGTAAGCAACCCTTTATACCATTCACTACCGTGCAAATTTAAAGCGTTTTGCTTTGGCGTCAAGATTTAATACAGATGTGTAATCTAGGTTATTATTTTGATAATAAAAATTGATATTAAATTTGTTGTTTTAAAAAGAAAATTTACGATCTAATTTTACAATAATTCGTGGCTCAGAAGGCTGTAAACTTAACCCCTGAGTAATTTCGATCAATTTGAACTACGAGACATCGCATAGTTGGCAGCGTGTGGGTTAAGACTCTTGCATCGGAAACAACTTCTAGCTTACAATGCTCAACACCCTAGGCCAGTTCCACTTGCGATTATGCTTCTAGCCACCTGTCTCCAAAACGATACTAACGACCTTGAAAACCCCGAGGAAAACTGTTTTCGTAAATAATTTTCAGTCTGCTTTCAAAACCATTCGAATTAGTATGTCTGAAGCATTGTTCCGTATCGTCAGCGAACCAGGAGATAATTAGGTGTGCTTTTCCTGGTGAGTCATCCTGTACATTTGCTCCCTACCTCGCAAAACTACAAGATATCTCGATGTTTCCACGAAATACTCGAGACACGAAAACTCGAGAATGATACTTACCTCTGGCATCGGTAATTACATCCGATCCACGTTAATTAGTGCAGCTCGGGTTTTAATTCTCGGCGGTGTGCCAGCATGTAACACATCTGTCAGTGTGCTTTGTAGGTGCTAGTCAATCCCTGACTCTAATTAGGAAGTCGGGATAAACGTTTCATTCGGAGGAAATTGATACGAATAATTTTTATCGCGTGATTGTATTAATATCCAGGTTTGTACATTGACGCGTCAATCGAAACCGTATTGGATTTCATTCAACGACAAGTCGACTTACCAACATAGAGCAGCATTCTATAGAAATTGGGACAAAGTCTGAGGATTCAGAGTTTCGCGGAATCATTAAGAAAAGTTAACGAATATTAAAAATTTTTATTAGTATCGGGGCGATGAAACCAATTGTACAAAAGTTGAATTATTGAAGTGGTGTATTATTATTATTGGTCCATTCACTGCCAACTAGGAGATGTCTCGTAGTTCAAATTGATTGCAATTACTCGAGGGATAAGTTTATATCCTTTTGAATCACGAATGATTGCAAAAGAAGATCATAAATTTTCTTTTTAAAATAAGAAATTTAATATCAATTTTTATTATAAAAATAATAACCTAGATTACACATATGTATGAAATCTTGGCGCCTAAGGCAAAACGCTTTAAATTTGCCTGGCAGTGAATGGGTTAACCAGTGCTTCATTAGAACCTTCAAAGGACCTTCACGCGTGACTTTTTCACGCTTCTGGTTTTCGGTACATTTTGTTTGACGTAACAGCGACGCTCATATATTGTCTTAACAAAGGAAGGAAATAGACGTTACGAGTAAAGGCACGTGTTGATCGAGGGAAAACCAACTGCGAACGCAAGGGGGAGAAAAACCATCGTAAAGTGGGCGAGAAGAGCGTTGATTGCGCTTCCTGCCTTTCCATCATTTCACGGGATGCATTACAGCTGCTAATTTGACGGAAATTAACGCCGACGAAGAGAAGCTAGTGTTTCTTGCGTGCTGAAACCATTCGTTTTCGCTTGGCGCTTCTGTAAAATGCGAGAGGTGATCTCAGGAAGTCGAAACTAATGATTGATCAACGTCTGGATTCAGTGTCTTCATTTCAACGACGTTTGCAGATAAAAGTTTCATTTCTTAGTTCCAATTTGTAGAAAAAGTCAATATTCCATTCATTTAGAGCAAGCACAACAAATGCCAATTCAATTTGAATCATTATACAACAAATAAAAAATACATTTGTTCAATATATTTCTTTTAATAATAATAGAATAATAATAATAATAATGATAAAATCTTCAAAATAAGAGTTTTCTTTTTAATTGAATGTATCGTTTTCTTGATGCTCTCGTGACAGGAATTATTGGTTTCTTCGAGTAAATTTAGCCCAAGCAGAACTGCCGTACAGAAAACTGACACAGACGTAACAAGAAGCGTTGCAATTATATCTACAGGATTATTTCTTTAGCGGATAGCTACTGCTGTACGGCTTAGCGATGTCTTTGGAAAAAGCTGGTTTTAAAACTCCACATAAATCCATCTGGCACATTCATTCGTTTTAAATGGCGTAAAAGACCGCAAGACATCGCAATCCATTTAGCGCAGCCCACTTTCTGGAATTACGTCGGAGGAACGTGAATACGTGTTTGTATATGTACAAACACGAAAAACGAAGAAATACACTCGGCAAAAATATTCAAAGACGCTCGATGCTGATAATACTTTCAATTACGGAAAATAATTATAGAATAGATTATACGTTTTTTTACCGGAATCACGAATAGGAGGTGCTAACCATTTCTGTATCGAGATGGTAATGAAATAAAGAGATTACTACTACTATCATTATGTTATACAAATAAATATACTTTGTTTGATTGCTTCAGTTGACTGTTTAAATACAAATACTTGGCACCGCGGTGTAGAGAGAAAACTTACAGGAAACCAGAAAGAAGAAACTTGCTTCTTGAAACTCATATAGGTACTTTCCACCGATGAAAGCACTATCTTGATCTTTGCCTAACTGTAAGTAGAGGTAAAGGTCCACGAGCAGTCGGATTCTTCGTATTAGCTGAAGGAATAAAAAGCAGTTGCTGAAGGATCCGCAACCTGAAGATCGTCTGAATGGATATCCCCTTCGTCTCTTCGTTTTCCTTCGCCCTCCGATCTTTTCTTCCGACTTTTCCGGGCAATGAAAACGTGGTTACAGTGAAAAGCATCCTTCCTTTCGACGGAAACTTTAAGACGCGAGAGAACAAGGAGAGGAAGGCGAAGTAGACAGTCCTGGGCGATATTTGATCCCCGAGCCACTCTTACAAAACTCCAACGTCCGATAGCGAAAGCACTCTCTTTTTCGTTTGGACCTCTCGATATAACTGCTCCCTTTCATTCAAAATCGTCTATTTCTGTTTTCGCGGCTGACAGACGAAGCCTATTACTTGAATCGAACAAAATGGAGACTGGGTATGAATGAATCGAAACGTAACATTTCATGATTCGAGGAACTTATTGCTTTATATAACGTTAATGATTCCATTCGACACAAATAAATCAATGTTAGAGTCCAAGAGTATGCAACCGAATATATTTGGAGCGGAACGCTTCGATAATATTCCTTGCGCTTTTACAAGAAGAAGGAATAGCAAGCTGCGAGGCTATTACCTTAGGACACTCGAAATCACGGGCGTTAATTTCAATGTGTCTCGAAGTGGCTGAGCCAGGATTGCGGTGGTCGTATTGCACACAGGTAGCGAAAAGGGACGTGTCAGTGTATATGCGTATAGAGAAGTTGGTAAAGAGTGTTGATAGTCCGATATTGTTGGTGAATGGCGTCGGTAAGCGTACGAGTGGTAGGAAGCGGCGAGACGAAGAGCTCTTCTTGTTTGAGCGCTGTAGTGCTTGTGTCAGCGTTGCACCCTACCACTCTGTCGCGTGAACACAATCACGTGTTACATTTTTTAAATGATCGAGTAACGTCCAACAACACGTAAGCATTGTTGTCCACAAATTAAGCCAAAAAATTGAGCATTGCGAGGATTGTCGTTGGTTAGAGTAAAGTAAATAGAGAAAATGATTAACAATTTATAATTTACAATGGATCAAGCTAGTTTTCGCAGCTACCGGTGAAGGACCCGTAAGATATCCCGGTGGTGTCTCACTCTTTCCACTCCTTCTCGCTCCTTCTTTTTGGCGAAGTTGGCCGCACCTGAAAGTCTAATGAATAATAAGAGAGATAGCTACAAGCTGTCGAGAGATTTTATCGAGCCCACTGTCAACATCCAACTAATATCGCGTACAACGTGGCGGATTAATTGGAACTGCCCCGAGATCTAAGCAGCATTTTCATGGGCTTAAATCGCGTTCGCATGACACCGGTGTATCCAAACACTATGACCCTCGGCAAGGAATGAACTTTCCATAGCCTTTGAGAAGGAGTTGTGATAACCAACGACCCAGAAGTTGCGCGCGGCATAGCTTCAGGGAATAGGACGTTGTCACTCTGTAATTTCTCGTTTCTTACCTTGTGTGTTCCCAAACGGACTCACTTATGTCATTCCCGTGTTGTCTCTTACATGTGAAATAAGAGAAACGTTTGGTGACTTTAGCACTCGAGTCACGGTGCGACTTGGTACGTCATAGTACAGAGTTGGTTGAGCCTGACAAACTTCAAGTTCAGAACATTATTTAAATTTATTTACAATGAACGAACTTTAATACTCGTAAAATATTTGATAACGTTAGCGTCACTAGGAATAGTTTAAGATTATAAACCGTTGCATTATTGAATATATCTATTTTTCATATTATTATTTGAACAATTATTAAAGGTATATCTAGATATGGAGAGGTGGCATGGCGGTCAATGTTGAAGTATACATTTTTCAAAATTTTAACTGTGGCTGTTGAAATTTGGTATTCCCTATTTCTTTTGAGATTACAAGAACTACTCGTACCTGGTATCATTCTAATTAGTTAAATTAACTTATAACGTTCAAAGTTTCGTAGTTTCATTAGGTCGCGTATGTAGATGCAATCTCGATAGTAATGAATTTAATGTTAGCCGCGTGAATCGTGATATAAACTGGTCATATTTTATCGCTCTATAAACCTCTTCATCAAGGATTCGTAACTGACAATGGATAATAATTTATTATGGTTGATCGTAAATGGAAGATAAATCAATGTTGAAAAGTATTAATTACTATGATACTATGATAATAAAATATAAAAATTATGATTAAAGATATGTACGATAAAATATTGTTAAAAAAAAAAAGAAAGCCTTTATAAGAAACTATAAATATTATAAGATAATTAGTACTACAACGTGTTATAGATTAAGTATTGTTATAAACCTGCGTAAGATTGTAAGCCAGTACGAAATGTACAAACACATAGTAATGCAATATGGATCGCTCGTCCTATGTACTTTAAATAAAAACGTAAGCGTAAACGTACCAGTGGCATCATCGGTGGGAAGACGCCAAAGTTCATAGTGATAATAGTTCCCACCGTTTCTGTAAGAAGGCGCCACTGATATATTTAAAGATGAATAACAAGACTTAAATACAGTTTGATTAAAAATTTTTAATGTAGATAATATTTAACAGTATAAATACAGTATACAAATTTAAAAATGCACAGAGAAATTTGACACTTATAAGATATGTAAACAGTATATGTGTTCATATTCATTTTTCGAGTACATAATTATATTACTTCGTTTTATACCGATTACATAGTAATAATTACATAGAAATATTTAAATTAAAATTCTAAATTGATTTTATTCTACATTTTTAATGTATAACTGGTACTTGGAAATTGTGAATCTTCAATGCTGATTGAATTCACGATTTTGTTATGCATACTAACTAAACAGACCAATCTAGTGAAAGATAAGATATATATTGAACAATTTCAAAATAAAAGACAATATTGACTCTAAAAATTTAATTGTCTGAAGAACAATAATTGTACGTAAAATCAAAATAAGTATTTCTATTTTATACACATGTTGCCATCTATCCATTAATGCAAGGTAAATGCGTCGAGAAGCACGAGAGCTAAATTCACTCAGTCTAACCACCGTATGATGAAGTTTCACGTGCTCGGAGCATAATTTTTCTATGTAGATGGAGAAAATATTTAGTTACAAAATGATACATTTTGATTATTATACTAAAAGTATCATCTTACCTGTTTCGGTAGTATGTAATTCCTCATACGTTGCTGGTAAATATTTATCCAGCATTAGCTCAGCATGATCAGTACTAGTGTCGACAGTCTTTAAAATACTAATTCCCGTTTCAGTTGACATGACTTTGTTTGCTTGTTGCCAACTGTATACCCTAAAGTAATGCACCTTGTAATAAGTAAGTAAAGTCATGACTCTGACTTTATGTTTGGTTTCTTGCTTTAAATCAGTAAACGTTTTAACAGCTGGTTTAAGATGTTTGAAAACAATGGACTTAGTACGATTTAATATCTGAAATAATATAAGTAGATATTCGTTAAATAAATTATGTGTAGTTTATAAAAAGAACAGGAGTATTGTACATAAACATTATAATATGTATTACTTGATTTGGTTCTTCTTTGATTATAGGTAGATTTACTTCTACATAATCAAGTCCTTGACAAAGCGTTTTGTCAAGAGTATAGATTGGTTTCTCCATTAATTTAGCTACTAGTAATGACTTTCCAAATACAGTGCTGACGACATTTTCCATCGCGTCGAATGCCCAATGAGTAAACATATTCGTTCCTTTCATACGATCGTATACCTTCGTAGATTTATCCCATAAATAATTCACGCTTGGTATTTTGCGGGCACGCTCGATTGCCCGCATTTTATAATCGAAATCTGACAATTCTGCTTCCATGTTAACGGCGAAATGTTAGATAAACAATTCTCTATTAATGAATAAACAACCTGCAATACACATTAGAGATATACATATAACTTTTGCTTAGATACACATATGTCATTATCTGCATATTGTTAAGGGTACTGACCCTATAGGTCTTATGTCACTTAGCACAAAGATATATTCGCATTATAGATTTTATTTGATGCGTTTCATGAGTAACGTTAGCGTTAATATTTAATAGAGTGAACTAGGAATGTTTGAATACAATGGAAATACATTCTAACAGAACAACACTTATCAAACCACTTTTACCAAACATATGGGGAAGAAGTACGAATTATTTAATATTCCAAAATTACCGTCACAATAAAGAGAAATACGTACTTAACAGCTGATATAATCGTTGCTTTTCGAATATAAGTACTTACGCTTTCTATATTTCACTCAGTAACGAAATGTGCACCTTGATCTCTGAGTCATTTTACTGTGGAATTTATTTGTTCGACATCCAACAATCGCGGCATGGATTACTTATTTTTCTTCTACGAGGTATCGTTAGCCTCTTGCATTTTTCACAATACGATATCGTCATTCCTTTAAGAAAGTAATTTCAGTACGGCAGTATCGCGTCTTCCTAAACTCTATTACTTCAAACTTTCAACGAGTTGTGAAGTCCACGAATGAAATCTCCTACGAGCCATTTCACATATACATATAAGATTTGACATCATAATCATCAATTTTCTTCACGAGGTCAAGATTTCACAATCAGGCAGTCGGGGTCCGAGTCTCGTCACGCTACATTCTTTTCGTTATTCTCCGTTTGAATTTATGCGAAAGATGTTTAGCGAAACCTTTCACGTTAATTAATTTTCCTCGTTATATGTATATAAACTACTCTAGACGATTTTCTGCGCTTTTATTAGAAAATAGTAATATACGTATTATATTGAAATCATCCAAGGACATTATAATGGTAGACGTCGATGATAATGTATCTGGTTTGCGAAAGAAAGGTGAAAAGGGTAACGGTGTTGCGAATGTGTGGGTGCAGTCGATTTATATTAATAAATAGTCAATATATTCCTGGAGTAGTCGTGCATTTGGAGCATCCCGATAAAAGTTCTGTTTTTAACGAGACAAAAAAATCATTATTAGAAACGTATATAAATAATCTGTCTGATTAGTAGTGCAAACTTTTCGCTCCTCTGTAAAGAGAATTTTCAGTGAAACTACATACGATCTATTTAGCTCATAATAACGCATCATCTAATTTACAGAGAAAATAGCAAAAGATAGGTGGACAATACGGAATCTACATTATTCAATTGAGTTACTTATATCGACGCGTTTAATTTTCATATTTAAAACAGAACGAATTTTGTGAAGGACCTGATATAAGCTGTTAGCAATTCGGAATCTATTTTTCGAATCGCGATGTTTAAATTTAGTATTATTTATCAATTCTATTGCGAGATGTTAATATAAATTACAATATGAGGTATGGAGAATAAGACACATAAGTCTTTATGCGCATATGATACATAGTTTATTAGGTGCTTTTACAAAAACTATAACGATGATTGTTGTATTGTACTCTTACTTTAATGTATGTCGTATGTAGTTAATTTTTTAGTCATTTTGAATTTGTATATTCGTTTAACTTGTAAGACTAGTTTTTTTTTATACCTCCACCACTTGTCCCCTCCACCGCTAATGTAGTAGAAATTCTTTTGGACACAATTTCGAAATTAAAAATCATTCGCACTGCATGGACAAAAAGAAATTCGACTGTTATGGTTTTTTCTTTCCATGACTAAAAAACAACTCGATGTATCTCGATGGCAGCAAGTCTTTCGATAAGTTACGAATTCAATCGCAACGCAATTCCATGATCAGTCTTCAAAAGACCAAGTGAGACATATTCTCGAAATTTCATTAATTCGTGACTCACTATAGTTTTATTAAATGCCCTTCTTTAACATTTTACACAACGTCTGACATATAAAAACATTGTCTACTTTGATATGTTTAGTAAACAATTGTAGGAAATACGTATAAAAATATGGTGTCCTATTATTACACGACCACAAGTATTGTCACCCTACTTTTTCTCTTTTTTCTCATCAGCTGTACATTGTTCTCCTTGATTTTCGTTCTGTTTATCATCTAAACTCAAGAACTGCGTTAAGTGAAGAATCGATATAACGCTTGATATATATGGAGCAACATCCTCTTTCTTTAGAGTCTTTAATTGCGCTGCAACCGAATGGTACACGCGATTTGCAGTCTTAGACGATAATTGACCAATTGTTTGTACCGTGTGTAGAACCTTGTTCTCGTCGGCCGACACAGGAACTGCAACACGTATTTTACATATATATTAGACATAGAGTTACGATGCAAAGTTGCAAAGCAGCGATTCACTTTCATCATGCTTAGGTCTTCGTATAATTAAAATAATATTTTGTTTTTCTAATTACATCGAATAAAGTCGCTAAATGAAATAAATAAAATAACTTGAACTCTTTGGTTGCCACGAGTCGATCTGTCGGTTTTCGGTTCCAATGCAAAGATCGATCTGTGGCATCCAAAGGGTTAATAAGTAAATATACGTTATATATTACGTTTCTAATACCTCTTAGTTACTTATCAATCATACCTGGCAAATGTTCTTCGCCCTCAACAGGAGGGAAATAGCGATTCAGTAAACCATTAATAAGAACGCTCGTATTATCCACGCCTTGTACAGCCATAGTCCCATACTCTGTATTTAACAACTCGTTCGCCTTCTTTATACTGATATCTTTGAGTGTAGATGCTTGTTGGGTTGCTGATTCTTTTGCAGCATGAAGTTTGTCTATTGTTGGTTGCAAAGAAGTGCTCATCACGGCTTTAGCTGCATCGTAAATCTGTAATAGGGAGAACGCGTATTGCAATGAAATTTGCATGCACCTTCGATACTCCATGTAATCATATATTTAAGATTTCTGTAATGATAGTGGACTGAAGGACGATTGAGCACTAAGTACCAATTATAAAGTATTTAATTCTGGTTATATAAAAATAGCAGCACATTATAGAAACATTATTTATAAAGAAAATCTATCTAGCTGTATTTAACTTTTTCCACTCGCCTGCTCTGGTGGTTTTGTCATCATGGGCACTTTTTGTTCAACTATGTTCAAGCCTTCGCATAATTTGTTGTCTACAGCTGTGATTTGCCCTTCAAATTTTTTCGCCAACGGCGCAGCTGTAGCAGTGGCATAAGTAAGTCCAGCTTCGGCATTAGTGAGTGCCCAGTTGATTAAATGATGAGAATCTTTCAGATAGGAATACGTGGATTCCGTTTTCTCAAGTGCGGAGTGTATAACAGGAATGTTTTTTACGCGATCGATTACTTCGAGATGAGGCACGCTTTCTGAAGCGACGTTACCTGCGAGAGCTTTATCTGTAGCTTCTGCCATTTTTTCTGAAAAAAAAGCAAAATATCAGTAATTCGCACAATTATTACGCTATGCTATTAGTGTTTAATAACACACTGAAAGCTGACAATTTAGCTTGTGATTCATGCAACATGTCTCGCTTATTTAGCTAATAACAGTATCTAGGTCAGAAAAGAACTACAAGAATGTTGGCACCCACTGGGGGATAATCTTGTAATAATATATCAATCTCGAACGCAATTATGCATTTGGGGCAATTGCAAACACGCATATTATAAAGAATCATGAACATGCAAAATGAAATCCAGTGCTGACTCAGTTTATATTCTATACCAATAATTATCCTTTAATTTAAAAACCGTCAAAGTAGAAAACTGTTGCAGAAGGTGTCATTTTACGTTTGGTTATTATGTAATAATAATTTTATCGGATTTCATGCTCTATCTCGTGTTGTATCGCGATTTAAAGTTCAAGTGTTTCCCATGCCTACTTGATACCGAAAATACTTTCCACAAATCTTTGAAATTATTAACGGTGAGAAGATAACATTATTTTGTTGATAAAATTAATATTCAGTGCAAAATAGACATTTTTATATTTTGTTTATCTTGAATGTTCTTACACGTATTTATTGCAACGTCTAAAAAAATACAGATTACTAATTCTGTAAATTGTAATGATAATTAATGTTGAAGCAAATGCTTGAATCAAATATTAATGAAGATAAGTAAAAGATCAAGAGTACATAAATATGTAATTGTAATATGTGCAACACATAAATACTGGTATGCCAAGAAGAAAAAAGATGTGAATAAATCATACAGTGCTAGATCATAGTATGATACTCAACTAGTCATGAGATTACGAGAGAAATTCATGATTCATCCGCTGTAAAAAAAGAGTCCGTTGAAATTATCTGTACAGTTAGACATTCCATAGACAATGAATGCAATGTCATGTTACTACACGCCTCCTATAATTAAGTGTTCATTCGCGATTAAAGTTCTTCTCAATGATATATCTATCCTTCGAGCTGTGTAATGATTGTGTCCTTCTACTGTACTGTAATTTAATATTTCAAATTTTCACGAATTTACGAAACATTTCATAAATCGAAAAGCACACTATTGTTGGGTTTTTGTCAGGTTCATCACTATGTACAATATGTATTTCTTATAATAATTGTTGCATTAGTGCTATAAATATCAAGGTAGTATAATACTGTGAAAAGCATATGTACTGCCTTCTTTCATTGCCAAGATATCGATCATAAGTATCAAACATTCAGCCTTCCTTCTATGTATGTCATACGAATTAATTGTAGACGTCAATAAAAATCAGTTTTTTTAAGAAATAATGTTTATAAGAGTTGACATTTTGTTACGTAAGTAATCAACCAATTAGGTAGAAATTATAATACACAAGAAGATATAAGTAATGAAGAAAGAATTAAATTCAGATGGATGGAAGCATGAAGATTTTTATTTAACATGTTTTGTAGAAATAAGTAACTTGAAATCAATTTAATTCGAATTCCCATCGTACGTAACGTGACGCTGTAACATAATTCCGACAATTTCGTATAACACAATGAGACTATAAAGTGTGTCGACGTAGTTCACATGGAGCAAAGCATGGGTCATGGTTTTTTTGTGAACATGCACAGTTCTTTAGGGGATCAATAGCTTAAATTATTGTTTTTTCTAAATATATATCAAATACCCTATTTTTCCATTTTGTAAATACGAGATGTAAGTAGAGTTACGAAGCTTATTTTTTTTTAATATGGACGTATGCGTTTCAAAGACGTGCGACGTTCCCACGAAATGAAAAATCAATATTTGTAACTTAGCTCAAGTTAGTAATTGATGATCTTTATATTACAGACTTTGTTAAAGTTTTAATTGTTCATTTTCCTTCAGTTTTAATTATTCGTTTCACTTCATCTTTTTTTAAATTAATATTTATAGTTCGTCAGTAGATAATACCTGTTTTACAAATGAAGGAATTTGTACTTTTGCTTTACGGAGATCAATATTTTGTATCAACAATACGTGGAAATAATTGCAAATGTGTCATGGTTATCGCGAAAATACTTGTCATATCCATAATGACGAATTACAATCTGTGATCTGATTTGATTTTTGTAATGATATTACTCATTTTTGGTCTTGATCATACAATTGAAACTTTATATTTGTAGTAATAAAAGTTATGTTTTAGAAATTCTATTATATTTAGTATTTATCATTTTTAATTGTAACTCTAGCAACTAAAGTTGTAAATTTCGCGCGGTTTCTTATACCGCGAAATTCGTACTATACTCCAGAACTGTAATAATGGAGGGATCTCTGCATATAAACACTTTATTAAAAACTATAATCCTATGATCAAGTATATGTAAAAATAGTAAGAGTTCGTTCATTCATTCTCAAATGCATTAAAGGGCAAATCATTCAAGTTTTACATATATTTCTTAACTATTCGTACTCACAGCGTTTGATGCAACAGTTAGTATAATGCGGTAACTGGAACACACCAATTCATTCACTTTCACTACGTACGAGAGATTCAGTGATACTGATGACGATGACACATCTACCCAGTGAGTTATAAAAGAAGGGGACGTCCACATGGAGGGAGATACTCTTCAGGGCCGTGAGAAGCATGTAGGTAGTCTAATCAACTTTTCTTTTTCAATTTGAAATAGTTTAAATACCTACAAATGACCAAACATTTGACTACGTTTGTGATTTAATGCTACGCCAGATTAAATATTTATCTATATGTTTTTAACGCATAAAAACTATTTATTTTTATTAAATTTTGACAATTGCAAACCATTAAAAAGCTGTGTTTTAATTGTATACATTTGCTTAAATAAAGATAATTTTATAGTATGTATAATATTTTATTAATAATCGCATTACGGTAAAAATTAAAATGGAAATCAGAATTTGAGTTATAGAATGAAAGACTTGGTGATGAACAATCGAATAAATGTCACGTACAAAATACTATACGTTAATTTTACATGTTATCTATTACTTAAATAAATTTCCTCTCACCTCTGGTCGAGGGTTCTTTATCGCACAGGTACTGCTGTGAGTTCCATTTATGTTCATGCGCAGCTATAGATACTCGCGTACGCATCTGCTATGACGTGGCGTTACGCCTTACGGTGATATTTCTCTGCATCTATAAACAATCGTAAGCATTACACTTGTCGTGCAACAGTGTAATCGTTCGAGTAGCGGTGATTAAGAACTTTTTTTTTTGGCGATTTTTTTGTGAAAAAAACTGCATCGTTCGTTCTCACGTAGTGTCATACATGTCCTATGAGCCTTGCATCATTTTACTTGCGTGTCTCCGATGAAAGTTTCCGCGAACCTTGCACTATGCATTCATCCCCCCTCCTACTCATTTTGATTTCAAAATCCTTAAGAGTCATTGGAATTTCTTTGACTATCATCAGAGTACCTGTTTAATAATTTTTTTTCAAATAACTATATTATTATTTTTGCTAATCAATCACTTTATCTCTTTCTAATTAATACTTATAGTTGACTAGTAGATAACGTCTCTTTTCTAAATGAAGGAATTTGTACTTTTGCTTTATATAGATCAATACTTTGTATCAACAATACGTGGAAATAATTGCAAATGTGTTATATTTAATATACGAATTACTAATATATTAGAAATGGATGAATTAAATGACAACAGGTGATAAAATTTTGTTTCAATAATCAACTTATGCTTATTTTATTTACGTATACACGGCATATGCAAAAAATGTAATAAAACTAATCTACAGCTTCATACTATTTACATGTGCTGAACGTGTGAACGATTAGTAAATAGAAATGTGTGTTCACCGCTGACAAAATAAATCTATAAAAAAGACGATGGTTTATAAGTCTCTCTCTTATAGGCATACAGATACAAAATAAACGTAATATCTTAAATATACTTTATATACCGAAAAATATAAACACTCAATTTATATATTCGAGTATATAACTTGTTAATCGAAAAAGGATGTTACGACCAAAAAAAAACAATGGAGAACAAAATGCACACTGATAATAAATATGAAAAATAATGAAAGGAGTTCTTTTCTCTGAGTGAACAATAATGAAAACATTAGTTTTTCGTCGGCTTTGTCGGTGTATCATTCGTATTGGATGTTTGAGCTTGTACTTTTTCGTTTATGGCATGAAGGTATTGCGTAAGCTGCAGAAATTGTAATAAGGAGCTTATGTAGGACTTGAAATTGTCTTTGTTGATGATCCTCAAGTGAAGCAATAAGTTCGAGTACACTCGACACGCAGCTTTATTGGATAAACGTCCAACTGTTTGCAATGTGTGAAGGAGTTTGTCTTCCTCGTCTGTTTTTATTTCTGAAATCGGTATAAATAAACGTTGGATAACGTCGATCGTAGCCGTTACAAATTATTCAAATCTCAGACGATATAAAAAATAATAATAAATGTATAGAGTGGCCTACCTAGTGACTCTTCGTCTCCTGTCGCGGGAAAATATTTATCAATCAGCTTGTCAACAACAACAGCCGTGCTATCTAAACTTTTAACAGCAGCGCTGCCATAAGACGTTTCCAAAATTTGATTCGCCTTGTTCCAGCTCATATCCTTCAAGTTGGACGCCTGCGATACTATTAAATCGTTGGCGTGCGAAATACTAGAAACTGCTGGCTGAACAGTCTGTAATGCTAGTGTGTACGCATTCTCCAAAATCTAGAATTGAAAAAAATATTTTCAGTATCAACGAATATTTGGCGCAAGGATAATTAGGTGAAGTTATTTTAAATCCTGTGTGCCTAGGTTGATTCAAAAGAAATTTCCAGTTGTGGACACATATCTTTTTAATGAAGGCATTGATATACTTATATTTTTCGATTGCTCCAAAACCACTAAAAGTGCGGCCACTTTATTATTGTTTTTGCGTTAGTAGGAAAAATGTTTGATTTCTAACCTGCTCAGGTTTCTCCTTAACCATCGGTACTTTTTCTTCGATTTTATCAAGCCCAAGACACAACGTGTGGTCGACGAAGTGAATAGGGTTCTCGAGTTTCTTGGCGATGGGTACAGCAATAGGTACTGCTTGCTTCAAAGACGTTTCCGCAGTGGATAATACCCAGTGTACCAGATAATGCGAATCTTTCACGCGTGAATATGTCGCTACAGATTTAGTCATCGCGCTTTCGACCACAGGAAGCGTCAAAACGCGATGGAAGACCTCGATGTGAGGTAATTGCGCAGCTCCAGTCGCCATTGTTGTACGAATTTGCAGTATTTATAACTGATATATCACGATCTAAAACAATGGTTATTTATTAATAGTAATATACTTACTAATACAAGTTCTTATAATAACAAATTAGTTTCCTCAAATAAATACACCCTGATCGTTTGTTTATTGACGAAACAGAAAATTGAATGAAAGTTTGTTTGTAAGTTATAAATTAAACGAATAAGTTATAACGTAATAAATTAAAAATAATGTGCAAGAAACGTTCACATAATTTTTCGTTTTGTTAATGAATAAAATATGCTACTTGGCTACGATATGTCGTATTTATTTGAATATATTTATTCTTCACGGAGGATGCTCCGTTTTAAATCCAGTGTATGATTATCTCTGCGAATGGTAGTTATTGAAACACTTGAAACAAATGCTTTGAATATGAAATAAACGTAAATACATTTCTCACCTGCTCTAACAGCTTATGCAAAAACAAAGGTTATGACACGTGACACATGATTCATATTCAACAGATGTGGAAGAATTTAAAGGACAAAGAATTGACAAAAACAACACCGACTCGTTTAAAAACTGAAGGTAATAACTTCGAATTCTTACATTGGGCAAATTTGTAAATCATTTTAGTCTTTGTTAATAAATTGTGATTTTAAAAGTTTAAATTGAGAAAAGATAAATCTCAGATTGAAACACATTCGGGACAACATTTTTACAGTTAATAATTACAGAGATAATCATCTAACGAGATTAAAAGAAAAACATCCTTTATACTTTGCAAGATTTTATAAATTATTATTTCCATAAATGAGTCAGATGGACTCATTTAAATTACAACTTAAATAGGAAAATCGATAAAACTACCACAAACTTGGAAATCGAGTTATATATGCGATATCGCGAGGGGTCAACGAACTTGACGGAAATAATGTATACACATGTACATATACTTCGCCACATATAGCTCTATGTACATTACTTTCTCAACTTTTGCTTGAAGCCACAGTCTAGGACAGGATTTTAGTCCCCGAGTGTCTATTTATACATCACAATGTGAGGAATCAAAAATTGTTGGCAGTTATTTCAATAAATAGAAACTTTCACCTTTATGTATATTATCTTAGCAGATATTCATTTTCAAATAACTATTTAATCTTGTTGATATACAATATTATTACTGGATCTTATTTATCATTTTTATTATCATTTTTATATTAGATGATTAATACTATTAATTTACTTCTGGTTGTTCAAATATACAACGTCCATATTTTTTCAACAGTTATTAAGATACAATAATTCTGTTTCGTTTGGCAACTGTACCTGAAATGTCACTTAATGAACAGTGCCCTGTTCATACAATCAGATAAATCCATAATTTATTCAAATAATTAACTATCGAGGATTAAAGACGATATACAATTTTATGAATTCTACTATTTATTTTGTTCGATTGAAGATACACAATTATTTTAAAAAAAGCGTCTGGTCAAACAAAATGTCGAAAAACCCACTAATAAATGCTATTCGCACTCTATAAATAATGTGGTGCAAAACAGAAAACAGGAAAACCCCCTTCTTACTCACTAATTAACCCAAAAACAAAAACAACTTAATTTCCAAATAAATGAAAACAGTCACACTCAAATGTCTTCGATCTACATGCCCACCTCTCCTTCTTGGGGGAAATGTAGCCTCCAAAAATTCAGCAACGATCAGCGTAAACGATGACAGAATATTTCGCGAATAATCGTTTTGTGTCAATTTAAAAGCGCGTCGGTTATTATCGTTTCAAACAATCAACTGATAACGCGTCTACACGTGAGGTGAAAGCGCGACCTTCGGAAAGTTCTTGAAACAGGAGGAAAATTATTTATAGATCGTCGAAGATTAAACTGCGCTGTCACGTCTATCGCCCAAGGTTTCGTCGCGATTCGTATTTGCGAGTTCCGCTTACCTTTCCGTTTTTGTTCCCTCGACGAACGTGTGGTTACGCGCGGAATCGCTTGGGAACGTTCAAGAACTGTGCGTGAGTAGAAATGCGCGTCGTCAAATGCTGATTCCAATACTTATAACCTGGGCCGTCGCCTGCGCGTTGAGGTTCGGCCTAAACGACCAATGGTAATCGACCGACGACACCCGGTCGCCGCGTTCAAACATGTACCACGAGGTTTCAAAGTCCGCTGTGGCGACTGCGTTTTCGCGTTATCGGCGTTTCTGAAACTGTCACGTAAATGCGAATGAAAATCACGAATCGGTCGCGACATCGAGGACTTTGTACCCACCAATTTTCGTATGAAATTAGACGCGAATACACAGAAATTTAAAGAAATACTTAGAATGGTTAGAAACATTCACGATGCCGCGATAAACATAATAAATGGATAGACCGATATGTTATCACTTGAAATTATTTTGTTTGTTTATTTTTAGACTTTTACTTTTAAGCTGAGAAATGGAGATAGCTTACAATTGTTTCCAATCTTTACGTTGTATTAACTTGTTTTGGTTCTCACGGCAAAATACTTTACACGTGCAGTTTTCTTTCCGTTTCTTGTGACTATGTATTTATATTCGTAATCCCCTTTCAGAGCCTTTCTTAAACTCAAGCTTATCGCGTCAATTATGAATTATCTTTCATTTATGTTTTTGTTTTCTTACCTATTGCTCTCAGTTGTTTAATCATTCAATTATTGCCTCTTAAGATTTGTCCTGCACTCTGTTTTTGCAGTGGTTCATTATGTTGCTCCCACGGATTATATTTCCTTTTATCCGCTTCAACTCAATGCCCAGTGGCGTATTTATGGGGCCCAAGATAAATGGAGTTTGAGAGCTCCAAATAAAAACTGAACGAACAAAGGAAATTTCTTCCAAGTCTTCCTCGTTTATTTTACAGACTTTTTATGTAGTAAACATGTTTAATATTATAAATACATTCAAAGTGAAACCTGTTCAACATCGCCAATAATATATTTACATTTGAAGAAAACAGTACTTGAAGATTTATTTAACAGGACAATGATGAGTACAATTTTGTTCAAGATATTAATCTAAATTGCAGTAAATTAAAGGGATTAAATGGCATGGCTGATTATTGAAAATTAACTCAAAAATAATATTCTATTATTAAAAAAATTTTAAACGTAATATTATTTTAATTAATAATAAGCTAATTTTCATTATGATGACTATAAATTTTATTAATAGGAATGAAGTTCAAACGTTTTTCAAAGCAGCTTCAGTATATCCCACTGTGCTTGATAACAGCTATAATCGTTCAAAGTAACGATACCACGATTTATGATGTGATAATGCAACATTTTTCGCCACAAGGATGATACATCAACTCTGAACGAAAGAAGAACACGAGTACATTCAGTTGTGTCCAAATAAGTACAACGGCAAAATGAAAAAAATTATTTTTCCAGAAAATATAGAAAATTATTGGAAATTCTTGAGGAACCTGGCAACATTAATACAGACCAAAGCTATCATTATTCTTCTCAGCTTTTTCTTTCTTCAATTGACCAGTAAAAGATCTGCGGCTGGCAACCAACGATTCGTAACGTGAACATTGGTCGCTTAAAGAGACAAGAGAGCTACATACCAGCATCGGTCGTAATTCGATTCCTTTGTCGAAGGAATTTTACCTGCAATCCTGAAAACCTCAATCTACCTTTTGCTCATCGACTCTTTAGATCGCGAAGGAATCTATGAGAAATAAAATCGTTTCCATGGTACTGGAATGAAGAGAAAAACAAATCTTTATTTTTACACTTTCTTACCTCTAAACGTTACATTTTGTGCATCAGAAATAAACATTGTTAAGTAGGCATTAAAATGTGAGAGCTGAAGGCTAATACGACACCGATATACTGTGCCATTTGATAAAAATAAAAAATGAAATCGACCGTTTATTATCCGAGGGTGGTGAATACGATTCGGAGCCGTGTCATTGCGGCGAATTGGACGTGTTACTAACTCGTGAAATTTCGATCAGAGATCTTTCTTCTTGTCATTGACCTTGAAATAAAAACAAAAAACACTCATGTGGAGCAACTATTAAACGCGACTACGTTACTCGATACCATTTACTGGCGGATTAGAAGACATCGACATGTGGTTATTGTGGTTCTGCTGATGGCTCTGGACATGTGTTACCTTGGAAACAGTCGGACGACCAGCTAAGAAAGCTGCTAACCGCTCCTGTCAAAGCAATGCCAACATGTAGCGATGAATTAGCAACTAAGTAGACTTAACTTGTTAACCCTTTCAGACCTGAATTATTCTTTTTTTCTCGTACTAATGTAATTTAATTTTTAGGAACTAAAATTTGGTCTAAAATTAGCGTGGAAAAAGAAAAGAAAAATATCCTGATAGTGTAGTTTTCGAGAAAAATTGGTGTTTAAATAATGGATAAATATACACGATCTACTTGTAGTTGAATTTTTGAGATTATAAATAAAAATTTGATTAGCTTCTACGTACCAATAAACGATTTGTTGTAGAGTTAAGCCTCTGTATAGCTGAAAGGAGTACTGACATTCGCGCTTTCGTTGCGTCCCTCATGCCGATGAGTGGTACCATCTTGAAATAAACAACGAAATCAATCGTTTAACGTGGAATTAAGGTAAAGGTAATACGCGACGATACTGACTTTTAACGTGGCGTCTGCAACCGCGAGTAGTTGGTGGGAAAGGTTAACGAAAATTCTGCCAAGATCTCGAGGAGATCTTTTTGCTAATGTTGTGGTGCCATTCACGAGATGGACGATGCGACGTGCGGATTCACGAGTAAGCAGAACCAACAACTGTTCCAAAGTTGCTGGCCGAGCTTGATTTTCTGGTTCAGGCAAACTTAACGTTGCCCACAACTCTTTGGCTTTTTGATAGGCTAGCTTTGGATCCGTTGCTAACTGCAAAACGTCAACTTCCTTATCTTCGTACAAATAATAGGTCTATCAAAACGGAAAAATAGTGGACTGTTGGAAGGGATTGTCAATTGTACCTCGATGGAAGACAGTTCGTTCGGATTGTGAGTCTATTGTAGTCTGGTTTATCGATATCCACGTAATTGAAGAACGATATTCGAATGAGTTTTCTACTTTTTAACTGTTGTACAAAAGTACGACACACGTGTAACAAGATATTTTAATCTAATGTTTATACATCGGTGTGATTATTAAAAATAAAACGAAAAGATTAAACGTCACTTTTTTGAATTTTACGTTTCATGTTTACTTGCCATGTTTACTTACCAGTTCTATAACGTACAGGAGTACATGAATGCACTCTGTTCCCTGCTCCTTGAGGGCTCGAGCTTCTGCTAACGTACGACGCGTCAATCTTCTTTGTAATTTTCTAGAGAATCTGGCGCCGTGTTTAATGGTCCGCGTAGCCTTGCTCACAGATTTGGAAGGAGTATTTTCTGAAAAAATTACTTTCATGGAATAGGCATCTCACAGTTTTCATACAAAAATAATTTAGTGTACCAGAAATAGAAGGAGTAAGTAACTTTATCGATTTAGGAGACATTGAGAAGCGGTAAGAAGAATGCTCTTAGGATTATTTTTTAAAAATTTTCATGGTGATGATTTTAAACAAAAAAGCCATATTTTCATTCAAATGGCGAGGAGGATGTTAAATAAAACTTAAACAGAAGCAAAACTGCAGAGACGATCACTGTTTAGTGTTCTGCTAAGTAAGAACATAAACGATCATCAGTGCCTGCGATTGTTCTATCCATTGTTCTATCTGGCATTGAAGTCTCCACCTCGTTACCTCTGGTAGAAATCAGTGTTCATAAGTTTAAGCTTTGTATTTAGACTCTAGGTCTAGCTAACCAAATGGTTTCATTTGGGAGCTACATAAGCTATTCTAGTCTGGCAGCCTGTCACAGTCAGACCTGTGATAAACCGCCGAAGGGACTGCTTTCATCGCTCCAGGTATAACTCTATTGTTACTCCTCGCTAAAGGAAACTCGTGTCTACGTGACCTGTGGCACGTTTAACATTTTCCAAGTAGCAAAGGAAAACTGTTACAGTTTACGTAGCCGGTGTCATAAATCTGGTCGAATGCATATTCTTCTATACTATTTATTTATTTATTCTATATATCTATTATCTAATAATCTATTAATCCATTATTTAATCTATATTATATATCTATATTATTTTTAAGGCTCCAGACTATTACTTCATTTAAGAAGAGATTTTACTCTGTAGATTCTTAATATCATGATAGTTTTTGACCAATTTTTCCTTCCTTGAATTGCTTTATGAATTGATTATGTGTATATTAAAAAATCTTAAACGATTCTTTATTTTATGTTTCGATTTTCAGAATATTAACACTCTTTGTTATAACATATATAATAAATTGTAAGCATTGTCTTTGACCTACCATCTATAACTTTGTCGGCGGGATCAGGAGGCAAGTAACGATCAACGTATTTATCTGCGACAGTAAGAGCATCGTCCAATCTGTCCGCTGCAGCGTTCGCAGCTTGACTTCCTATCTGCTTTACACTTCCGGCACGCATCAGCACAGGCCTGACGATTTTGTTGCTCACATATTCCCGTGCGTTGCAGTACATCTTAATAACATACAAAACGAATTGATTTAAGAAACATCAAATATGTATGTGGAGTAGAAGAGAAATATTTGAACTTGAACCCAATTACATAGATTATTTGTCAACGTAAAGTTTAGTTTATTTCTCAACAAAGAAATTATTTCTCAGTTATGTGTAGATTTACGAAATGAAGTAATACTTTAATTTGACATCGCTAGATAATAATTTTAAATAATAAGAAAAAACTAAACAAATCGTTGGTTTAAAATATTTACAAGCTTAAACTGAGGGATTATTTAATGAAAATTTGTTAAACACGTTTCTTATAGTATAGACACGTGAACTTACAAGATGGGGAGGTAGGTGCACGGCTGGCACTCTTTGTTCAACGATGTCGATACCTTTGCAGAGCAGCAGATCGATAGTCATGATCGCCCCGTTCAGCGCGTAGATCGCTGGCTTCGCCGATGCCGTTGCGATCGCGAATGAATGTTCAGCAGTGCCCAAACTCCAGTTCATCAATGAATTTGATCGCTAAACATTGAAAGTTTTGGTCACTTTATATTAAAAATGATTCTGTGTAAATAAATTTTTTAATCTATTCCGAATAACAATTTTCGAAGAATTCTACCAAAGGTTGTATGAAAATCATATGTTTATTCCTTGATTTTTCTTTGGTGTCCACTGAATTATCAGTACACAAAACTATAGGGTTGTATATCAACAAAATTTAAGGTGATCCTCCAATGGAAATGATATTCATAGACGAAATGATGGACTTGTCTTACATTTTTTAATATTAGGGACATTTCTTAAGTTTACCTTTATCCTATCGTACACATTACCAGCAATGTGTATACCGTTTTCCACGATAGGCAGACTGGAGATTCTGGCAACTGACTCGAAATGTGGCAAATCGGAGTGCCGCCTTTTTGCATTCGTTCGCGCCATTTCCAAGATCGTCGCTGCAACCATATGGAAATCCTTAGTAAATGTATTGTAGGATTGTTAAAAATATTAGAAAGAATAAACGACAGAATCTGTTACGTTCTGTTTAAATATAAATCAACATGTTCACGTTTTCAAGTTTATTTTGTACATTGCTATGGGTCAAATCGTATGTTGTAATACTCGGATCTATTATGGCAAAACACACAGATTGGCTGGTTGTGAGTACTACGTTGACCTGTTAGAGCATACAAACACCAAGCAAATGGTATGTCGTAATTAGAATTATATAATCAGTACGAGTGACTCCGCAGATTAGAAGTATGAAATACAGACTGAGTTGAAAATTACTGTCGGAACGCGACACTAAATCATTCAAGTATCAATCTCTGGTGAGTCCAACGAACTTATCGAAATAGTCACTGTTATTGATTATAATTAACAGATCGAAGAAGGATTCCTTTGGTTTTCTAAACAATATGTAGTAAACAAAATTCATTTGTTAGTACAAACATTTTAGGAAAACATCTTTAACATTTATCGACCAAAATATTCCGGCAATAAGAATGAATAGATACATATTAATTTCGAATTAAACAAATTAAACGAAAGAAAAATTCCTTGTCTACAATTTTCGAGGGGCGATATTCTCTTTTTGTTGAGGAGATAGTTCTACCGACTAAATCTATACTAATTTTCGAATTCGTTCATATATTTACAAAACACGAAGTTCACGCGATGTACCAATTCATAAACATTTTTACATCATCTTTCTAGTAGCAATTTTATTTTTAAAGATCAGGGAGACCCATTTCGTGGGAACCAGCCGGTAGTTCGACATAGTTATACGCGTAAACATTTAACTTTTTTACCGGCTCCAGAGCAACAATCTTCATGTTGACAAAATGACGTCACGCGTTTCGAACTTGCGACGATAAGACCATTTTAAATACAGGTCGATACCCCTATCGCTATCACTCTTATCGAATCACTGATATTTAGTGTCTTCGTGGCGAGGTCACGAAAGAGGCTCGGGTGAAAAATTCATCAACTTCGAGGATAATCGCATCTAGGTACCGCGACAAACGGATGCTGCGAAGCTATCTATTTATTTCAACGCCGCTCAGTCCGTGCTAACGCGCCAGAACGATCGCACGGGCACGTATTCGTTTCAGGAACGATAAAAAAGAAAATTGCTTTCAGAACCAGTATTGAATCCGAAAATGAGGGAAAATCGTGCTCGACCAATTGCTAGCTGTATTGATTAGTGAAATACTCACCTCAGGACGTTGGAACGTTGACCGGTAGCGGGGGAAGGTTCCGATCGCGTAGAAATTATATAACGGAACGTAGCAGGATGCAAAGTCAGATGGAGAGGCAGAAAAGTTGGTGTTTCGCCGAAGAACACGCCGCTAACTGCACGTCGCAGAGTGCGAAACAGTATCTCGTCGGTTTGACCTATGACACGCTGATACAGGCGCGGCAACCATGATGCCTCACGAACGAAACTTTTCAGATTCTGCTTCGTCCCCTGGTCCAATAGGATCGATAGAAACGTCCATAAGAATCGGCCCGTACCAAGATCAGTCGTGTTCAAATCCAAATCACATCCAAATACCTGCGACCATCATTGTTCTAAGAGGGGTATACGTGTTCCGAGTAATAAAAATACCAATCGTAAATCATGGATATGCACGTGTTTTGCTAAATAGTTATAGTGGTAGGGATCGATATAGGTGTTCGTTCGGTTATCTGCGAATTGAGTTTTCTTTTTTGAATGGAGCACGTTAGGAAGCGTGACACTATCTTGGATTAAAGTATAAAAATAAATTTTGGGGGTGCTTGCCTGGGATAAAAATAAAATTGATAAATATCTTAATGTCCTAGCCATCGGGTATTCGATGATATCTGTATACTATCTACACGGAAATACTGTCTGAGTAGGTTTGGGATAATAATTAGTGGGGGCGAAAATATCGAATATTGTTAATGGATATGATATCTACAGCAGATACAATAATATCAATAATTAAAGGCTAAACTTTTTGTTCCTCTGACAAAATATTAAATCAAGGTTGGTTATTTTGAATGTAGGTAATTTTTTATTTTGCGCCGCCTCCGAAAAGGTTGGGTTGTAGTTAATATGCTGTATTTAATAATTTAATCAAATTCATCAAGAGCTGGACAGTATTCATATGAATGAACTAGAAATTATTTCATACATTTTTGTGCAGTTTCAATGTTTTTCGAAGGCCCCTATTAATTTGTATTTAGTAATATTCTTACAACAGTGTTAATTTTCAGCAACCAAAGAGTGCTTAAGACTCATCTACAACTTTCAAGATAAAGTAGAGAAACGCTTAAGTTTAATTATGGCGCCACGATAGGTAGGTAATAATAGGCAGGGAAAATTCACAATGGGAAAGAAAACTGCAGCGAAAAAACTAAATTATCGGCAGCAGACGTTCTTAATTGCTATTCAAAGTCCACCACACCCACTTGTTTATATATATATATATATATGGGTTGGAATAGTAACCAGCTGGATAGATGTGACCAGAAGTACGTCTTATTTTTTCAGAGTAGACATATTTTGAAAGAAAGCATAGCGATTCAGTCGCGTAACGCAAATACGCTTGCGATAAGTACTATCTTTAGTTACGAATAAATATGTACACGATACAGGCATATTAGTCTAACACGGCTAATATTATTTTGATGCTATCGCTCATACATGTTAATTTTGAATGGGGATTGATTCATTGTTTCATAAAAGCAGTGGAGAATGAATGTCCTCTTCGTGATAATTAACATATTTCATTCATAATTTTTTTAAAGCAATGTACGTATGGTAAAAATTGATTTTCAAATACCTGTAAAATCCATGATTTTTGAAATCTTTAAAAAATCTTTGAGGTACGTTTTAGTATCGCTAAAGACTGCAACATACTCATATTTGCACAAAATCTGACACATGACGGGTCGTCATCGTCAAATTTGTCAAAGAATGACGTGTATATACAACCAGAGCATTCACTGAATACATTACGCATGACGTATGATATGTAGGGTCCATCGTATGGACTATGACCTCAATTATTGTACAAGTTATCAGCTTATAGTCCTCAAAAAGTATATAAAGAAATCGTTATACTTATTTCGATGATTGATGACGATTTGTTTACTTTCAGTACCGGTGCCATTAACACTATAATTACTCAACCGATTATGTCAACTTCTTTTTAAATTTGAATCATTGAATACACGAATAGAAAAGTTTATTAATGTTTTAACAACAATCAAAGTAAATTTATTTAAGAAACCAACGATTCACAGTTGAAACCCTACAGCAAATTAACGAGTCAATTGTCGTAAGACCACGACGACATGGAGCAGTTGTGGTAGAGTACAATAAAACGAAAAAAGTCGGTTAATACTTATATTTAGTACCCAGATATCGCAGCTTCGTGTGTGAATCAATTAATTGTTGAAACGGATAGTCGCTGATCACGTTGTCAGTAGCTTATTTCTTTATTTATCGCCGCTGTGAAACGCTTTCGCGAGAAAATGTACTTTGCGAAACGATTCAATGCTTCTCGACTCTTTTATTACTCAGGCAAGAAAGTATTACGGCTAATGTAATTTTCATTTTTTTTCTTCTTCTCGCTATTCACGATTGCTTTTTCTACAAGTTCAATGGAACGTGGACTAAGGGTTAAAAATTCCCGTTGGAATTTAGTGGAAGCGACAATTCGGATAACTCATCCGAAATATAACTTATATAAATTCCAAATAATTTAGATAATTTCCCAAAGGTTGAAGTTTTGTGGAAATAAGACACTCGTAAACCAAATCACGTTTCAATGGTGTTAAAAACAGTTGAAAAGGCGAAACACCCTTTCAGAGTGAATTTAGAATGTATAGAAATGTAAAATAAAATAAAATTTTCGTTGTGAAGAATTTGCATAATATTCTTGAGTTTCGGTTGCATTTTTAATACTATGATAAGATACAGTTAAGTTGTTAACAGAACCTAATTGGTGCAAAGTGGTCGTCCTTTCAGCAGAAATGGAAAGGTCGGATTAATAGACACTCGTTTCGATGGCGAAGAGAATAAAGGTTTGACACTCAACTCACTAACTAGCAATGTCAAGCGGAAAATTGCTGGCATTCATCTCGAGAAATCACTCCAGTGACATTTCAATTAACAAGGAATTGTCGTTGCAGTTTTCTGAATCTTCGTATTCATTAATGATAAGTGTGTCTTCTAAAGGAGTCATTAAGTATGTATCGACACGATAAGATTGTCTGTATATCTGGTGATATTCCACATGAAAACTATCGGAATTTGAACATTTATTTTAGCGTTGGTAACGTTTACTAAAAACGCAGATTGAAATGATCTTACCGTTATCACATATAATTACGTATATTTCTATTTGTAGTGTTAATGTAGGTAATGCAGATTTTGCGAAAATTATTAATTTGTTTAAATAATAAGATTCACATACCCAGTGTCGATCTCTGTCTGAGCTTAGCACTAGTCTAATTTTTTAAAATAATATTAGTGTTATGAAAGCTTTATTATTGATTGGTAGAATGAGATTGGTAATTATTGCTTTACTACCTTTTTACTAGAAGTATTTAGGTACGCAAAGTTTCAAGTGAATTAAAAATTCCAAACTTTCAAAGTATCAACGACGGTTTAAAAATACTTGCATTGGTATCGAAAGTGGCCATTTGGGTACCACGCGCGGTGATCGAGCGCGATCGCCTGAATCATTATGGCAGCGTGCACCGTGTTCCCTAATCGCGACATAAGCGAGCTATTTTTAAAGCGCACAGTAACCGAGGATGAAAAGTGATTACTATACAAGCGCCAAAGAAGAAAACGAAACCAATATGAAAGAAATGAACTGTTTCGAATGATTAGATCGCTAAAACATTTACATACTTGAAGTTTTACTGTAGCACAGAGGATGGACAAGATAGTGTAGACACCTGTGAAATACATTATACAGTTTTGATCAGTTTTGAGTCAGAATCGAAATAAATACAGTTTTGTATTGTCGTAGTTCCTTCATTTTTTAATTCAACATTTTGAGCAATTTAACAAATATAATATTTTCCATGATTTCTTTCTATTTGGTTATGTTTTTTTTTTTTATTTTAGTAATTAATTTCTGGTACTATATTATCAAACAAAAATGGTTGCAAAATATATACAGTTTGTTTTTTGAAACTTTAAATAAAGTACTTTTCTATACACTTTATATTCTATTTCTTCCTCCCTGGATTACACAAACATTAAAATATTCACTCAACAAAGTTACTCACCCATCGGAGCCTCATCACTCGATCCCTTCGAAAACGGTGTTCCCATCATCGTCTCACAAAAGAAAATTTACGAACCGTCTCACGTGACCGGTCTGAAGGAGCGCGAGGAGAGATTGACTAGATCGTCGTCACGTTCAGCACGTGACTGTCTCGTTACGTTGTCGAAATATGCGACAACGACGCCCAGTTATATCTATTTATTCATCGGAACACAACAAGCACACTGTCCCATCGTTCCAGCATTATCAACACCCCTATCCAGTGTGCGTGTGTCCCCTATCGATTCATACGAATAATGTCAATGAGAAACCATCAGATCCGTTTATGCGTCTAATATTAGCCTCAATCAAAGTCAATAAAGGAGAAAATAACGCCACACGTGTTCGCGCTATAATTCATCCTCTGTAACGTACACGTGACGCGATTCTTCGCGAACGTATAAAGGTATCTTGATCTTGAACAGGCCAATATTCCATCCAGGCATCGTCCGCAGCGCGAGGTTCTCAAGATCCCGATCACCGTAACGGAAACAATCGATTACGCACTCGTACATCATCTACGGACATTGATTACTTGTTTTTCGCGGTGATTAACTACGCGAGGGTCGTAAAATCGAAGGATATATTGTCCCGTGACTGGCGGACGTATTTAAAAAAGGAGAAGCGGAGAAAATCGAGCAATCCGGTCCAAAAGCAAGAGAATTCCACGAGAAGTCCACGATCCAATCTACGTACCTTTCAACAATTTTTACCCGCTCTGTTAAAACGAAATTATAATTAGTCGAAGAACGAAACGAATAGACACGATGCGTAACCTCAGTACGCAACAAATCCTCAAAGACGAGGAGTGCTTTGAGATAATTCGCAAAAAGCTCCATAAGGACTCCATGGAGGATTTCTCGCTGATCACTTACGAAGTCGTGCCCATAGACAAGGTGAACGGCTACATGGGCCAGTATTTCACGCTAAAGGCTACCGTGGCGTGTCCGCAGTCGCCCTTGGAGACGAAGAATATTAATTTCTTCACGAAAATACCGCCACCGACCACCAGCCCTCAGTATGACTTTATCCAGCAATACGGTAGTTTCAAGAAAGAAGT